ATCAAATTAAAGAAAGACAAGCCTGTTTCTAATCATTTCAACCTCGACGACCATTCAATAGACGATCTCACCCTAATCCCAATTGAGCGTATAGAAATTGACTTGCCCGAAGATGAAACTACCAAATTCCGTCAATCTAGGGAGGCCCATTGGATTGAGACATTGAATACAGCAAGACCTATAGGACTAAATATTCATCATAATGTAGGCATAGCACCCTTTGTTGTCCCGTTTAATACAACCAGCAATCGAGCAAGCAAGATAGTTCATGCCCACTATAAGAGCCTTCAAGAGAAATTCCCCCATGTCTATAAGCAGAAAATGATAGTTGCATATTCAAAAAATAAGAACTTAAATGATAATATTGTTCATAGTAAACTAAAAACAATCAGTACATAACAGATACTATACTTCTCGCCCATCGGGCGAGTTATTTTTTATTTCAGATCAGAATAAGAACAGAAGAAAACCCAATATCAAGACCCTTAATCCTAATTTCTAAATAAAGTGTCTGCTCCACCCTAGGCCTGTACATTTGGGAGAATCAAACCCTCCCTTCCCCGAAATCTAAAATTCTTAAATTGAAAATAAACTGGACCGAATCCAATATGGCACACGAGAGCCTGGCCAACACTTAGTTTCTAGACAAAAATTCAATATATCATGACCATGATAATCTTGAGCTTATCAAACTGAAAGTAGACCACTACCTTTTATCAACATACGCCTGACTGTCATTGCACACAAAAATCTATTTTTAGAATTATACTTCCGCATGTAAACCCCTCTTCATATAAAAAAATCTTAAAGAAAATGCAAATCTAGACCAAAAATCAGACCAAAATAGCCATGCATCCCCCTTCCCCCCAAAAAGGATGTTTAAAAATAGCATAGACCACATTTGCTTAAATGTTGAGTTGGCCATTCTCGCTACGCCTGACATAAATCCATACGCAGCTGGCGGATAAATCGGACTACTTTCAAATATTAGGTTATGTAACAATAGCTTAATTTTCGTCTCCATCTTTGACATCTGACTCGTCTCTGACACCCAGACTTATCCTGTCTTCGACAAGAATAGACTTTTCAAGGGAGATAACTAACATCTGACGGACTATACTTTGTAACGCGAATGTAACTCCTGCATAATAATTATAGAAGATTTTCCTCCAGCTGTTTACGAGGTTATTGTCAGCTCTAATGGGCCGTCACACCAGAAAGGCGTTCTCACTACGCTGCTACTGTGACGGTGAATTTGCTCAGAGCGTGTTAAGTTAGCCATTGGCGTGGTATAAGCGTGTTAAGCACGCCACACATCTTGCAGTTGTCGCCAATGTCGCCACTATTCAGCTATCTGTTCTGCAACTCGTTGAAAGCACCATAGGATTAGTAATAGTGACATAGGTAGCACATTTGGTTCCACAGACTGGTTCATATCTTACTTTCTACAAATAACAATGCCGTACCGAGAGACTTTAAATGGTCACCAATGTCCAATCGTGTGCCTTCAATGGTTGCAAATTTAATATCTATTCTTTGAAGTATCAATGCCCGCCAGTAAATTTTTCAAGAGCTTAGCTTATAAGTTAAATTATTCTGTTATTGTAAAGCAAAAAACAGCTATTGTTTTTATTTCTTTCCGGCTAAAAGGCCTGAATATATTGACATAAAGTTGGGTCTCCCTATTTTTCTTACGAAATGAATTAGCAAATTTAATAATGAGAAAAAAGACACTTTATGAACGATTCCTATTAAAATGTCAAGTTTGGTATGACAAAATAACGTAAAAAGAATTTAAGTTGGATAGTATTGCTAATTTCTTCCCTGGCCTACGAAAGAAGACATCTAAAATCATACGACCTAAAATATTTCGTCGCAGTAGTAATCAAAGCATTGTAAAAAAAAAAAATACACAAAAACATCGTGGTTTTAAAATGTCTTAGGTCAAAAGAACATCCGATTTCACAAATTTTCTTCCTTAAAGTCCATGGTGTGTTTTATCAAGAATTTAAAATTATGGACAATCGACATTAGAAGGGAATCCATTTCTAATAATATGAAAATACATGTTTCCTGTTTATTCAAATCAAATTATCTGAACAAACAAATTGAAGGAAATTTAATGTTCAATTCAAACATTGTCGAGTTATACTTCATGTCTGATAGTCAAAATGAACAACTGGGTTGTAATTGCTGTTTCTCTCGAATTTCTAGTATTCGTGATCAGTTTGATGGATTTTTCAGAATTTAGAACCACTAAAGTTCTTTATGACAGGTGTGTTCGTACAAATGCTATATCAGTGTTAATATATAAAAGTTCTATTTTATGTGCTCTGAAATGTTCATTGAACGCTAATTGTAGAAGAATGATGACTTGCACTCATCCAGACGGAGTTGAATGTTCTTTCTATTATGAAGGAGAAAATTGTGCGACTCTACACCCTATTGGATGTTCCTGCTTTATGAAGGTAAATTGTAACGTTTTCTAGACCGTGGTGGAACAATTTAAACGCGTATCTGTTAAGCTTCAGGTCCGCAGGTCTTTTTACCCGATTTCAGTACATGTACTGACTAAATCCACGACCCAGTGGACTGGTTTTTATTCAAATTAATGTGAAAAACTATCTGTAAACTATACTTTATTGCATGGTGTTTCCGTATATAAACAATGAGAGCTTGTCAATTTCTAATTTCACGAATTTTCGATGAACGGAATTTGAGTTATTACCCTTGACTTAGTTTTGACGCGTCAAAATTTGAAATCATTATAGCGGTTGTTTTACATTCGATGTTCTGTTCTAAATATTAATACGGCATGGTAAAAAAAAAATGAATTGTTGAATTATAAAAGATAACTGATTTAAAATATAATAATTAACCAAAAAAGTGTACGAAATACAGGTATATAGGTATAAGAAAAATAAATGGTATTTGAGTTAATGGAATAGGCTATGATATATTTTAAAAATAATAATTAAACCATATAGATATATAATTTATCCAATTACGGTGTTTAAAATGTAGAAGGCATAAATCCATTGGACACCGACAGAAAGAAGAGGAATGGGCGCTAATTAAGCGATGCAAGAAAGTAGTGACATACCACTTCAAAAAGTGCCGTTTTTGAAAATGAGTTTCTGGCAAGTGGTAGCAACGTTCCACGGTGTATTATTTTCATTGAACTTCTATTTGTAGGCATATAGTAAGGTGAATAATACAGCGATTTGTCCTATAGGTTTATATGGGGACAACTGTGAAAATACCATTAAAGGTAAGACATTTCATTTCCCTTAGTTGAATCATTAATCGACTATACTGATGGTGACATGTTTTATTATAATTTGGAGCATCATCAGTTTTCAGATGCCTATGTATATGATCAATCGAAGGGTTTTAATGTTATGTCTTTAGCTCAGTAATGATCCAAGCACGATGGGAACGCACTTTATCATCTTAATAGATGAAGTTGACGCAAGGCACCGGAGTTTTCTCGATGATATCAAGACCATACCTTCTGCATTCATTGTGCAGTATTAAGTCCACCTTCTCGTCAGGACAGAACTCTGCCCAGACCATGATAAGAATTGTCTTCTGTACGCTCTGAGGGTTAAAAACCACCAAAACTGTCTTCTGTACGTTCTGAAGGTTCACAACCACAAGAACTTTCATTTGTATGTTCTGAGGGTTGAATGATGTCTTGGAAAAATATCCAACACGTAGGCGGTCTTCAGCAACATACATGTTGTCTTTTGATTCGTCGGGCAACATGACACGACGATGTGCGCAAATTCAAATGTTGACGTACCTGCAAGATGAAGCCAGTGTGATTTTCACGATGTTTGTGTCTTTTCAGTGATGACGAACTTGCAGACCGACAGCCAACAGACGTTAGTTGATCAATTTCCCTTACACAATCAATCTTTCTTTTGTTGTCATACTGACGGAGCCGATTGCTAGACCGTCAGAATTCTGTGTCATCTCTCAAATTGATAATTTTGTTTCGACCTAATGCCCATCATCTGCCTTTTTATAGCTCCTGGTAACTGATTAAGAATACCACGTGCTTTTCGTATTTTGAATGAGAAATACAACCATAGGCATAGCGAGGATTTCTCTGACGTGAGGCAAACCGAGCGCCTCTTTACGGATAGAGAGGTGGGGGGGGGGGGGGGGAACTAATGAATTTGGGTGTCAGGGGAAAAATTTTTGTAATTGGGAAGACGGAGAAATATATCTAGCGCGATTGTGGACGTGAAAATATAATAAAGTTTTCATTTTTTATGGCCCAATAACTACCGCAACTGAAGACAAAAAAGTACAGGTCATCTCAAACGATCAACGATTATGTTGATTCATGTTTTATGTTTTTTGTTAAATGATGCTTCAAATTGTACCATCAGTATATCATTTAAAACTTTTTAACGGAAAATTAGTAGTTCATTAGATATAACTTTGTTCATGTTATGACAAAAAAGCATTTTTCCTTTTTACAGACTGCAGTGAAGGCAATGATAAAGGCTTTGGTATTTTTAATGCGTGGGTTCGTTCTTATATCAAACCATTGAGATTGAGCACTGCTATCGAGGTATTGTGTGAATTCAGATACGGTGGTTTTACCTTCTTCATGACCAGAGATCTTGGCTGTGAAGATGTTTCCTTCAACAGAAAAATAACAGAATACATTGATGGTTTTGGAGATCCAAATGCTGATCATTGGCTAGGATTAATCCACTTTAAGGCGATTTTAGACCAACATTCGCGAAACAGGCTAATGGTTGTTCTTATCAGAGACGACTTCCGCGAAAATTATTATGATAATTTCTCAATTGGAGCGGTAGCTGATGGATACCCAATTCACCTTGGACAATACGACACATATTCTAAAGATAATTGTGGCGACTCACTAACAGGTGATGTGAATATTGAAGGATCTCCCTTCTCAGCTCCTGGTTCTGATCAAACGTCCTTCAACTGTGCTGATACTCGTCAAGGTGGTTGGTGGTATGCTAATGATTCGAGATGTAGTGAAAGTTACTTCATGGGTTCTAAAGGCGCTATGCTATGGCCGACATCTCTGGGTGATATTCAACAAAATGTTGTTGCGTTAAGAGTAAAACCTTTTCACAAGTAAACAAATACAACAGTTTTTTTTGTATGCCATGACCAGAGGTCAGCAATGTTAGGCTTACAATTAGTTAAGGAATATTAAATATTCACGTTGCACTTGACGTCATAATTTTTAGCATACATCTTTTTTTGTCTATAATTCAATATAAATTTCTTTAACTGGCGGATTAAACTATAGTGGCATTGACATAAGATTCCGATTCATTTGTCCCTGATCGAGTAAAAAGTCGAAAAAAAATCGAATTTGATATTCTACAGACATGATTTGTGGCAAGGCTTGTATCTAAGCTATAGCTAAGACGTTTTATTACTTCCTGATGTGCCATGTTTTTTTTTTATATAAGGCACTACTCTTGTCTTGATTTGGCCTATTTATTTTTAAAAGCATGCTTAAAAGCGCCGAAAGTTGTCCAAACCAATCAAAAACATTGTTAAAAGTAGGTGGATAATACATGTTTTAACAATGTATATACCAGAATTGCTCAAATGTAGTAAAAATTCTTTGAATAAACAGAGCTTTTATTAGTTGGATATTATAGGATCAATTGAACATCCGTTACATAACAAATCAAGAATGGCCATATCCATCTTTTTTATCCTCGTCACACCGTTTGCGATCCTATGGCGATTGGAAATGTACTAAACCGCGTTCAAACGAGAAAAATCTTTGAGATGTTACAATGTTCTGACGACTTTCTCGATCACATGGCGTTCTGAATATGTTCCAGAACAGATCGCCGAACCTTGTTTAACGCCGTTACTCTGCGAATAGTGTCGACAGTGGCGACAGTGAGCCAATCTTCCGTTGCAGTAGCAGCGCAGTAAAAACGCCTCTACGGTTTGACGGTGCCACGAATCAGGTAACTTACGAGTATTTCACTATATAGCCTAACTCACACGAACTAGCATAAACTTATAAAACCTATTGATTTTAATTTATGTTTAACTTTTTTATTATGAAATGTTAAACGCTTTCTGGAAATGTATAATTAGAAGTCATGACTTATTATCGACCATTCCAAACTCATTGTTACTTACATGTAAGTTCGTCGTAAATACGATTGATTAATACCAATAACATACAATACTCTGTGATATCTGAAGCTATGTGGGCGGTTTGCTGCTCAGATTTTCTAAATTGTTAAATTATTTCGCAGCATCTGGGAGAATCAGAGCTAGCGCAGGATTGGGTCAAGCTGACAGCGCCGAAGTCTTAATAATTGCATACTCATGTACGAATTTTTTTTTTATATAAAAATTGAAGCTGTCAGTAGAGTGACCCAGTTGATCACAGTGCTAGCAATTGATCAATTTGCGATATGAAAGAGTCGCTCATGTTGGTGGGTCCGGTGGAATACTTGTATCGACCATAGCCTAACTTTTGTACGATTGGGTTGGATTGATATTATTATATAATATGTTAACTATTATCTGCAATATTAATAAATTATTATAAACATACTATTTCTATTATTTATCACCAGTTAGTAATTTCGACTTTTCCGATTGACAAGGTTTGGGTACATTGATTTACACCTGAAAATCGATGTTTCTTTTTATCAATAATGTCCTTGAAATATATTGACTGGTTTAACCTTTGATCAACTTGTTTTTGAACGATCCCAGTCACACTTTCTATTATCTAATTGTTAACCGGGGTTATCATATGTCGACTTGGGTAATCGTATAGGTTACTGTTATTTGAATGTATTTTCTAACTTCACTGCTATCTCCTACTTGCCTGGTATCTTGGTCATGACGAATTTCTCCGTCCAGATTTTTCAGAAAGTCACCCTCCTTGAATTTAATAACAACAAGCAAACGTTGGTGTGACAGTACGCACAAGTACCTGCAGGTATCCGCTTCCGATATCTGCCGTTCTTCACACGAGAGTGACCGAATGTTTTCACAGGCAGCCGCAGGAAGCCGACAGCAACAGGTTTTCGGACGATATAACCGAAAGCTTCAGATTACGAACGATGCAGGGGACCTTCAGACAACCAAGACGCTCATGGTTCGACAGTTTAGATCGTCTACTGTTTTTCAACATGATTAAAACAATAGCCAATCACTTTTTCGGTACCCGACCCTCAATGGACTGAAATGATCGTTCCAGATCTTCCCCAGAAGGTTTAAGGTAGTACTCGTCGATGGTGGTCGCAGGTTCCCGATGATTTTCGCGAAACAAACACTCGATCAACCGGCTCGTATCGCGACCAAAACAATCCTATTCAATCCAAATTCATGACGTCCGATTTGTCGCGCCGCCATGATCCATTGGTCGGATCACAATGGGGACAAAAGAAGGGGACGATTAGAGGCGAAGAAAAGAATAGAAATGTCTCATCGGGTCCAGATCGGGCCGATTGACCAAAACAGTTCTTGATGGAATGGGTGGTATTAAAATCTTGTACAAAAATGAACTATGTCTTGAATTTAACCTTAAGCAACAACAAAATTAAATTATCAATAATATTAGATACTTAAACAATCTAATCGATATTCCAATTGAAATTTTCGTTTGCATATAAACTCATATCTAATTCAGACATAAAGTTTACTGAATATAGTCGTCATAATGTACGCTTGGTCGTTTATTGCACTTTATATCGAATTCGTTACCTCTGTGACTAGTTTGGATTTCGCCGACTTTAAGGCCACAAAAGTGCTTACTGAGAGTTGCACTCGTACTAATCCGTTATCTGTAAGTATTGTCGAGAGGAAGTTTTTGTGTGCCTTGGAATGTTCGCGGAATGTAAACTGTAGAAGATTTATGATGCGTAATCAACCAAATGGAGTTGAATGTTCTTTATATTATGAAGGAGAAAATTGTGCGACTTTACAACCTACCGGATGTTTCTGCTTTATGAAGGTAAACGACAAAATAATAATCATAAACTTTATTTTGAAGTTAAAGGGATTGTAAAGAAGTTTTCTTAAAAACATTACGTGTATCGGGACACTGATAGCATCATTCGCACCATTCCAATTTTCAATTATAGACGTCTGTGGTTCTTGCAATTCCACTAAAACAAAGTGTTGTTCGATAAGTGACGTCTTCAAACACTTGGTGGAATTGCAGAAACAAAAGACGTCTTATCGAAAATTGGAATGGTGAAAATTGATGCTATCAGTGTGGCCCCGTTACACATGAAAAATTTAGAACACCTCTTAACAATCCCTTTAACTTCTTCATTATGGTGTAATTTAGCCAACTAGGATGGGACGAAAAACTGAGGCTATTGGCTGGAAAGTTAAATACCTTTCGACAGTTGGAAATTGAGAATGAGTAGGCTAATGTCACTACAGATTTTGTCTCCATTAGCCTATTTCAGGTTCAGAAAAATAGGAAGTAAAACTTCAATTCGTTTCATATCTTTACTTAACAATGACCGAAATTAAATTCAACCATGAAATAGGTATATTCAGGCTGATGAATCCGAAATGGTAAGGTTTTCCCGAAAATAATTTTTTTTTCTATTTTGTAGAAAATAAGTCAATTAAATGGTACAATTTTGTGTCCGATTGGACTATACGGGGACAAATGTGAAAATGTTATACAAGGTAGGTAATAGGTAAAGAGAACATACGAAATTTGGGTAAGACGACTGACAGGATCCTGAAGGTTACTGAATTTTTATTTATCATGTCATGTCATTTTTTTCATAGTTAGTTTTTATACTTTTAGTCTTAGAATCGCGAGTTTTTTCTGATACCACCTTCAATTACCGAGAAATATAAAAGCCTTGGATGATACCAGCACAACCTTTTTAGGCTCTTATAATGATGGTATGCTAATTTGATTAACTGTAAATTTAAGTGCTTACGTTCACGATTGATTCATTATATTCTCCTATCTTTTGACAATTTCTCATATAATCTTCTCTTCATAGATTGTAGTGAAGGAGAGGATCGTGGATGGACAAATTTTAATTACTGGGTTCGTTCATACATTAAACCAGTTAGATCTTTAAGAACATTTGAAGTGACATGCGAATTTGGATATGGTGGTTTTACAATATTTATGGCACGCGATAACAACTGTCAGGAATTTACCTTCAACAGAAACATGACAGAATATATTGATGGTTTTGGAGACGCTGGTGGTGATTATTGGCTAGGACTGACAAGAATTAAGGAAATTTTAGATAACCATCAGAGAAACTGGCTAAAAGTTGTCCTTATTGCAAAGAACTTTTTCGAAAATCTCTATGATGATTTCTCAATTGGAGTGGCAGCGAATGGATACCCAATTCACCTTGGACAATACTACACAGGGGCTAATCAGGGATGTGGAGACTCGCTAACAGGAGCTGTAAATATCGAAGGATCTCCCTTCTCAGCTCCTGGTTCTGACCAAACCTCCTTCAACTGTGCTGATACTCGCCGAGGTGGTTGGTGGTATGCTAATGATTCGAGATGTAGTGAAAGTCACTTGATGAGTTCTCGAGATGCTATGCTATGGCCTACAACCCTGGGTGCTGAGCTGCAAGACTTTGTTTTTTTAAGAATTAGTCCATATCCATAAGGGGAATAACAAAATGAGTCACATGTTTCAATTCAACTAACGGCTAGACAAAATATTACTTAATGTTACAATCATGGCTTGTTTCAATAATTATTTAGTTTAATGGAAATATGGTGTAATATACAGATTCTATTCTTTAGTCATAACATAAGTCAACTGATGAACATATACACTTATTTACGTTTGAGACTTTAAATTCATCTATCAGGTAGTATTCTTTTAAGGGCGTTGGCTAAGCTAGCGTTCGAGAAAACAAAAGACCAGGCCATTAACAGGCGTGCTCTGTTGTAATTGTAGGAAAGGGTTTTTTAACATATGGTTTCTCGCATCAAAGATATTGGTGGTTTAGTAAAAGTTATTCATAGAAACGGAAGAACATTCCCAATTAATTGTGCTCCATGACATCAAATTACAATTCTGAACAAAAAAATTGCTTTCGAACACCAGGTCAAATCACATGAAAACTCGTTGCTTTTTAGATAATTAGGTATGGAAACCAATGATCTTTGGATTGAAATCGAATATGGTTGATCGCCAAAATGTGTGTAACTCAATACAAAAATTATACATTATAATAAGTTATTATAAAATATATGTAAATATTTTTGTTTCAGTCTACACTAGACACCCATTAAAAATCGAAGACTTTCCAATAATATAAATCTAATCACAAGTGTATAGGCTACAGATTTCTCTTTTAATCGAAGTCCAATAATTATTGATAAAATCAAAGAAATATAAAGATTATTTTGTTGTTTATGCAGTCTCGAATGATCGATTTTTTTCCGCCATCACTTGTGGTAAATTACACAATATTATCTGAAACCTGATAATTAAAGAAGGACCTGAACATTTTTTCAGTTTATCGATGTATAAACATCAAAAATTGTGTACACTGTAAGTGTAAGTGCTTTTTCTGTTTATAGTCTACTGTCTACTGCTTGAAAGCCGACGGAGCGGCCACATTTAAAGTTCAATTATTGAAAGCCACGGTTCAAAATAAGTCCAAAGATCATGATTTTGTTGATATTTGGAGAATGCACATTCGAGGGAACTTGGAAAATACCGTCATCATTCAGTTAAGTGTAGATTTCGGCTCTGGTGACGTTCGAAGGAAAGACATCGACGCTGTGTAGTGGCCACGTCAATCAAAATTAAATGATAAAAGTAGCCCGTTAAGGGGCGGAGCGTATATTTACATTCCGTTTACACAGATATAAACCGAATTCATGTGACCGCTGTTATCCAATCAAATTGCGTGATACCGTGTAAACGGAATCGTGATTTAATTCTTCCAAATTATACAAGACCACAACATACATTGTAAGTAGGCCTATACTGCCTCAATTCAACAATTCCCCCGTGATGCGAATGAATGATATTACAGGTTTGATCCGATTTTGAAACATGGTATTGTTTCATACATCGTCTAGAGCTCGGGTGATTTTTTCAAACACTGTTTATATTCGCGTTTACACTTCCACAAGTTATTCGTTCCGAGTCCGATTCCGAGTCAAGCACGGTTCGACAGAAAAAGTGGCAGTGTACATAGTTTGAGAATGCTTGGTTCGGTGCACGAGTGTAGAGGTCTGTTTGGCCAGATAACGTAGATTATCACAGCATGGATGGGTCGGGTTTTCAATAGTTTTATCAGTAGCAGGACGTTGCACGTTGTGAGGTTACTTATACCTGCTACAGTGAACCCCTCCGAACCACATCCTCTGTAAACCGACATTCCCTCTAAACTGACATATTTGAAAAGTCCCGTTGGAATCACTTTATTATCTAAAGAAGGAAACCTCAAATAAATCAGTACAGCCTCAAAGCGGTAATCCAGCTGCGTACGAATTATATATTTTGTCTTGAAATTTGGGAAAGGGTTTACATTTTGTACGCTTTCGCGTTTTGTCCTTAACTTTGTATATATTGGCAAACAAAGGATGATGTAAATCGATGTGCGTGATCATCTGAAACTAATTTCCAATGTCGATTAGGATAACAATGCCACACTTACTGTTGTAAACGACAGAGGCTGTAGGATCATTCATATAATTCTTGTCATGGTATAAACTGTTACATAAAAATTATATGTTCGTGTTCGTTTATCGCATGCATATGATAAACATATCAACTTGTAATTATTCATATTCATAAATGTATTTAATAAAAATCTCCAACTTTGAGCATAGTTAGTTATATGAACAATGTAATTTCTATTAATAAAAGACTCCAATACTAGCAATAGTTGTTTATTTAATCTTCAATTAATCTTTTTAATTCATTTGCTTTATTTCAATTATTTTACTTAATCAGCCTGTATTTTATTTTAAGAATTATGTACCTCTTATTGTACGTGTTAAAATTTAATGTAATGTATCAATAAACCATTTATCTCTTGTGTGTTCTTAATAATAAGCAATAATGTATATATAGTTTGCCCATCACTTCTTCTCATTATGAGCCTGAGGACGAGGGGGAAACACGTCGAAACGTTGCATAAAACTTTAACCAGTGATTGTTGTTCCATAAAGCTGTGCCTATATATCGTACTCACAATTTCTAAATGCCATTCAAAGACTTTATAAAAATTATAGTTGTAGAAATCTGAAATCAAATATTGTGACAGGACAAAGGGAGATGATGTGTTCTGCTGATACAGGAATACCAATCTTGTCGTTTACACACTTGACAACAATAATTGACAATATTAAATAGAATTTATTGTTTATTTAGGAAAAGTGAGTAAAGCAATATGGACAAAGTTATTCTTTAATCCCTATATAGGATATTGTTTAACATCGCCCATTTTAATCTGTAAAGATATTTAGCTTTAATTGCAAGTTCAAAGATCAGTAGCTTCTTTCACTTAAATATAATATACAGACAGAAACAAATGATTATGGTAATATCGTCACAGCGGTGGCGTTCCTGTGGGGGACACTTTCAAATTTTAATATCATTTTACATAGGGAAAGAATGGCCTGTGCCTCCCTCAACTTTGCTCAGTCCCCTAACCATTTCCTAGAAATGCCACTGCGCCACAGTGCAGTAAAGATAGCTTGCCAGGCAAGGTAACATACGCCCACTGGCAGCTGTCAGAAATGATTAAACCGTCTTTACAGGGTTGCACAATATAGCTAATAGAGTGAAACGTCAGACACGATATTTCGGTGAAAAATTAACCGATCATCATGAAAATCGATAGATCATCATGAAAATCAATAGGGATCATCTTCATAACGACATAGACATACAAAATAAAAATCGAAAGAATCTGTAAAGAATTGTAGCCTGTAGAGTGAGCACGAGTTGCACAATATAGCTAATAGAGTAAAACGTCAAGTCAGACACGATATTTCGGTGAAAAATTATCCGATCATCACGAAAATCAATAGGGATCATCTTCATAATGACATTGACACACAAAATAAAAATCAAAAGAATCTGTAAAAAATTGTAGCCTGTAGAGTGAGCACGAGTTGCACAATATAGCTAATAGAGAAAAACGTCAAGTCAGACACGATATTTCGGTGAAAAATTATCCGATCATCACGAAAATCAATAGGGATCATCTTCATAATGACATTGACACACAAAATAAAAATCAAAAGAATCCATAAAGAACTGTAGCCTGTAGAGTGAGCACGAGCCAAATGTGAACGGACGGACGGACCGACGGACGGACCGACCGACGGGGTGATTACAATATACGTCCATCTTACGTGTGGGCGTATAAAAAAGTTAATTTGTCCTTGTGATGCTTTGAAATATAAAATTTATAACAGTCAGATCTCAGCTAGTATACACTTAATAATATACAGAAAAAGTGATTAGATTCTTATTAGTTGCATGTGTACTTTACTTAGTTTGATCGTTCCGTTGTTAGTGTTGATTACAATCTCGTCATCAATACGTTTAGAATTTAGATTGGAAAACGAGCAATCAACGTCATCAGCAAACCACCATCCGGACTCTTCCCGACCGGTACAGTTGAAGTTATCAGGATAACTGATGTGGTCAAACGTAGAAAATGGTCGTGAATATTGAGTTAAAGAGGGAAACATCCCATCACACCAATCATCTCTTGACAAATATGTTCTTTGAAAAGTGGCCGTGTAATTAGAAGATTCGCCTTCCAAATCAAACTTACCAACAAACCACATGCAACGTGATAACGATTCATTTAAGAGATGAAAATGCAAAATAAAACCCACCGCACTGTTTTGAAGAATCTGGTACATTTTTTCCAAACCCAACCAAAAGTTTCCGTGTACAGTTCCAAATCCATCGCGGTATTCAATCCATTTTTTGTTGAAATCGGTAGCATCGTATATGTCCCGACGTTTGTGGATTATTGTAGCTCCACCCCAGGTGAAAGAGCATACAACTTCAAATGGGTCTCCGGAGTAAGATAGTGGTTTAATAAATGTTATAACATTTTGTCTGCCATTTAAGGTATCATGCATTTCACCTTCAGTACAGTCTAAAATAAATATAGAAATAAATAGGTTTCAGGGTAGCTTCATCTATTATGTAGATGTACAAAACTTGTGGTCTACGGTTCTTCATATTCCCAGACGTATAATAATAACGTTCTTACAATAGGGAATTTTTTTTACAATATCGAAGGCATTTAGAACAGTGCCCAATCTTCCATTCTGTCGCTTATGATCAATACAATAAAAACTTATACTGATTAAAGGGACGTTCCGCTTTTTTTGGAGGTAAAACAATGTTTTTGCTCAAATTTGTGAAAACTATGTACCAAAATCAGGAGAAATGTGTCCTTTGACGAATCTGAAAATTTAAACTAAAAAAATCCAGCCGTTTTTTTGTAACGCTAAAAATATTTTACAAGCATACGGTAAAAATTTTAAAGTTCGTTATGTTTTTTGAAGCTATTGTTCGGATTTAAGTAAAATAAATTTCTAGTTGTAAAGAAATATGCCTCCTACGTATTCTGAATAACTGAATAACTAATAATATCAAGCCATTATAAAGTCAAACACCAAAACTAAGTACAGCTGCCTAATTAGCAATTAGTACTCTCCGTTTTTAATTAACCCTTTTAAATCAAATTCATTTTGATCAAGAAGATACATAGATGAAAATAGCATACTTTAGAAATATTTTCAGGTATTATTTACGATGTTTTCAATAATGAAAACTTTTTACGAAAAAGCGGAATGTCCCTTTAAACTCACCATATTAAATATATACACTCAAAGAGGTAAGATGGTTTTCTTGAGTAACTTGTACACAATTTCGCAGTCTTACCTTGTATGACATGTTGACAACATTGTTCACCATCACCATAATATCCTACAGGACAACGACACGTTTCATCTTCATACCTCATCAATTCCTAAAATTATTGATCTATTTTACTTAAAATTATATTTAGCAGTGATGAAAATGAAATTTAATAGAGGTACATGATTTGTTAAAGAGGGAGATAAGGCTCTGTAAGACTTCGTCTAGGTTTTCACGTTGTGTTGTTTCCGATAAAGTAAAGTACTTGTGATACTTAAACTTGTTTATTCCAATCTAATATAGCTGTATGGCGGTTGGCAATATCAGACGTCTACGAGCAGCTCGGTATCCTCGAACGTACTGACTAAAGTCTTCTCGTCACCGTCTAATATAGCCAAACCCATACAAAGAAATACAATACAAAATAATAATAGAATAAAAGAATATGATAAGAAATATTAATATTGTTTACTGTTCCCACAGACCCCAGAACCATAATTAAATATATTTTAATAGGTATTGTAATGGCTATTTGGATTACCCTATTTTCAGTCCCTTGAAGTAGGCTGGACAGGAGTGGTCATTTGGGGACACAATACATGTTTTTAGGTGAGCTTCAGGTCAGCGGTCATCCACCTGTCACCTGATCAAATAATGTTCGGACATCAAAGCACTTGAACTCGAATACAATACCATGGCCAATTAACAGGTGTAAACAGAGTTATGTGAAGGGTCCGTGGAGAACAAATATGTGTGAACTTTGTTTCACACTACAAAACGAATGATAAGAAAATGGCTATTTTCTTACACACGCCCCTTTTTCAAGTGTGAAACAAGGGTAATAATAATAAAACACATAATAGAAAATACACAATAGAGTTCTTCGAAAGCTAATTGTCCTATATACAAAAGTTGACCAGATCAACTTCTTACACAGTTCTGAACTGTTACTTTAAATGTTACTCAAGTGGTTTTATTCACTAGATTTGCGCTTTGGTCGTTTGGTGTTTGTCTGGTATGAGCATTCTTTGTTACCAGTCCGTCGTTGGAGGCTGATGTCCACCATTTTGGTTTACCATTGTGCATTCGTTGTCGGATCTATGTCCACCATGTCTTGTATATCGTATCATCTTTGTGATCGGATATCCACCATATGTGTGATCGGATATATACTATATATTGGATACCATGCTGTGTCGTTTATCTGGATATATCCACCATGTCATCAGGGTTTAACTGCCTTCAGATAGTTTTACATCTCATGTAGGAATATAATAACGTAGCTGCTGCAAGATTGTGCTGCAATATGACTTATAAACTGGATTAGTGAGAATCAATTGTTGGGTGAGTGTTTTTAATCAATGGATACGATGGATTTAAAGATTGGTCTCCGTTTTCTGAATTGCTCTCTGTTGTTGAGCAAGGTTGAGGAGAGAATGCAATGTATTAGCTCCAGATATATCAGGATATAATCGTTCATCGTCTGGGGCGCTTGGTTGCTTCATCGTTACCATGGGTATTGCTTCTGTACTTTGATCAGTAGGGACCTTATCAGAGCTTTCACCCTTTCTATCAGAGCGTCTCCATGGGGATTTGAATCTTAACATAAGAGGTTTCGTATATAGTCCATTTTTATCCACCGCATGTCTCATTTAGCAAGTAATAGACATTGGCGTCATAAAATAACCTACATTATCTGTTATCCGCGAACAACAGGTATAAATATTATTTAAAAGATCCGGTGCATTATCCCTGCAATAAGGATCTATTGTTTCAAGGGAACAACGATGTCTACATTAACGTTAACCGCGTATAGTAAACATATATATCATTAACAAGATCTATGCATTAACCCTGCATTGTTGATCTAATGATTATGTCAGAGCATTTCAGGATAGTTTCTTCAAGAAATCAAGGAGGGCCCTTCCCATCATCCTAAACTATGTCTATTGCATGCTAATTTAAATCTGCATCTGACATGTGCGATGATGAGCTTTCGTGGTCATCGCCTGTTTCATTCATTTCATCTTCCCTTTCTTCCCTTTCTTTTTGTTTCAATCTTTGGGCAAGCTCAAAGAGAGGTATGTCATCCTCCTCAGAGCTCGAATTGTCTCTAGCACGCCTATATTTGTCAACCAATCGTGCTAATGGTTTATCGACTTCAGATGAATCAGAGTCAGAAACGTCTTCATGTTCGGACTGGTCTGAATCACTTGTGTCAGAGGGTGGTACAACATATTTACTGCTTCGTACCTTTGAGTCGTTAGTAGGAATGTCCCATTGGTCAATGTTTGCTAAGCGTAATTTGTCGGCATGTGTCTTTGTTGTCTGTCCGGTCAAGAATTTTGATAGTCTGTCCTTATGTCTGGGGTCACAGTCTAAGTCTTTAAACAAATCGTCATTGTTATCGTTTTGTCCACTAGTCTTTGTCGACTCTATTGAACAAATCTGTCCATTGTCTATTGTTTGGGCCATTCCTACAATACACCCTCTTTTCAATCTAATAGTCTTATTAGATTCGTTAACAATGGCAACAGGTACTCGTGCATTGACCTCATTGTCATTGTTAACTGGTACAATGGAGTTCACAACCATTAACCCTGGTTGTCCTCCAATAAACCCCTTATCATAACTCTCTATAAGGAGTGTACTAGACGTCGGATTATCACCTTTTATTTTCGCCGTACCTATATTATATGTTTGAGGCTTCACTACCAGTTCTGCCGATAACCTCAGCAATGAACTTACGTGAATGTCCTCCTCGAGGGGAATATAAGTACCCTCGTATCTCAAACTTTTTAAATCGAAATACAGCCTTATTTTTTTTCTGTTAAGAAGTCCCTACCAAGAATTATATTTCTATTCATAGATGACACAACATAAAATTTATGTGACACCTTTTTACCCCCCAATTTAAAATCAAATGTAGCACTGCCGTCCATGTCAATTTGTTTGTTGTTAACTGAAAATAAAGCTATTTTCTCTTTCTTTAGTTTAGGTTTAAATTTTAAATTTTTATACACTCGACTGTGCATCAATGAAACTTCCGCGCCAGTGTCAACCAAGGATCTAAAAGTTTGTTTTTCTAATTTGATGACACATGAGCTTGGATTACCTGCCAAATTTATTTGAAAAGATTGTATATTTTGTTTTAGTGAATTTTTGTCACTCTTCTTGTCGGCTGTAATACAAGAAGAGTTCTTTAGTTTCCCTGTCTATTATTAAAATTTGGTTTTTTACAATTTCTACTTATGTGGCCAAACGCTCCACAGTTCCAACATTTAACGCTTGGTTTACTATTGTCGACAGCATTGACTTGTCGTGCCCTACAATTTTTACTAACGTGGCCTAATTTTTTACAGTTATAACATCTTTTTTTGGCGGAAGTGATCGACTTCCATGGGTTCTGAATTTGACGTGGAGGCATGTGTTGAGGCATTATTTCCCGTTCTTAGTTGAAATCTTTTCCTCAAGTTCTGCTCAGTCATGGCGGATGTAACCGCTTCCTGGAGAGTTGTCGGGTTCTCTCTCATGATTCTTAACTTTAGATAATTTTCTTTCAGTCCATCAACGAAAAACCCTATAAGTTGTCTCTCCACCTCGACAGTTGATGGTCCCGTATATGCTTCTGTAGCCAAAAGGAGAAGTCTTTCACCGAAACACTGAACATTTCTTAGGAGCGCCAATGCATGCAAGGGGTCAATAACCTCGCTAAACCTAATTGATAGCTCTTGTTTCAATTGGAGATAATCCGAATTCGGATTCGATTCTATATACCTTTGGATGAAGTTTGACACTATTCCCTTAGAAGTTTGAAATGCTATCAACTTCATCTTTGAAGTGTCGATTTTAGCAAGTACAGCATATTTTTCTATGGACTTAACCCAATCTCTAAACTTTGTTATTGGTTACTCCCTGCGCAGAAATTGTGTCTGTCAACTTATTCGATAAAGTCTGAAAGAATTCTTCACCCATTTTGACGATAATAGAAAATGGTTACTTACTTAATGGTAAAAGGTCCTTCCTGTTGCTGTTTCCTTTCCGATTTACGTTGATTCCCGTTCAGAATCCTGGTCTTAAGGCACCAATTCGGCAAGTGTAAGACTTCGTCTAGGTTTTCACGTTGTGTTGTTTCCGATAAAGTAAAGTACTTGTGATACTTAAACTTGTTTATTCCAATCTAATATAGCTGTATGGCGGTTGGCAATATCAGACGTCTACGAGCAGCTCGGTATCCTCGAACGTACTGACTAAAGTCTTCTCGTCACCGTCTAATATAGCCAAACCCATACAAAGAAATACAATACAAAATAATAATAGAATAAAAGAATATGATAAGAAATATTAATATTGTTTACTGTTCCCACAGACCCCAGAACCATAATTAAATATATTTTAATAGGTATTGTAATGGCTATTTGGATTACCCTATTTTCAGTCCCTTGAAGTAGGCTGGACAGGAGTGGTCATTTGGGGACACAATACATGTTTTTAGGTGAGCTTCAGGTCAGCGGTCATCCACCTGTCACCTGATCAAATAATGTTCGGACATCAAAGCACTTGAACTCGAATACAATACCATGGCCAATTAACAGGTGTAAACAGAGTTATGTGAAGGGTCCGTGGAGAACAAATATGTGTGAACTTTGTTTCACACTACAAAACGAATGATAAGAAAATGGCTATTTTCTTACAGCTCAGATCAACCTTTCAACCGGCAATTTTTCGACCAGCAAATTGCTGTTCAGATCAAAACCTTACAAAAAAATATCAACGATATAACAATCGCTATAATGATTTTTGCTCAAGATCTATCAGATCTTGTTGTCAACTTGAGCGACCATTATCTGCGACCATTCAGTTAATATAAGTTGCTACTAATTTTCATGACGAATCCGTGGCAATCGACATGAACTCTTCTTAATTTTGGGAATAAGAAAAGTGAAACATAGTTACCAAGCTGAAGCATTTACAACCGGCGTTGGTCTTTTCATTACTTCTTTCAAAACAGGTACTACCACATTGGTACAATGTACATTTAACTGATGGGTTGTTAGGACAAAACTCAAATTTGGTACACAGATCATCAAACGAACACGCTACAGCACATTGGTAATACGAGTTAATATCCGACTGGCTTCTACTGTGATATGATGTAAGTGATTTTGAGGTCTTCTCGAAAAAACTCTTAATGAAGGTAATCTGCCTTAACTGACAGAATACTTTGGTCACCAACACTACCAAAATACCCAAACCAAGCACCTGCAACGTCTTCATTTTATCCACTAAATGACAACAACTTCCAATATAAGCTGACTAATAACAAAACGTTCTATTCAAATGCGCATATATGAGTATTCTTAATCAGTGCGAACGGCGTTTTTAATTACTCAAAAGGACCATTGATTTATATAGAAATCCATCTTATAAAGAAATTAATACCAATTCCAAAGTTATAATTCGCATCAATAAATCTATACCACATCTTTCCAATTCCATTTTGATAAAATACCAGACACGTCTACAATAGCATCATCAAGTTTGAGCTTAGAATTAAACTATTTCATTTCCCAGAGTTAAATTAATGTCTATAAGTACAATCAAGAAGCCGTATCAAGAGATTACATTAACTCAATAAGTGTTCATTTTCTTGCCGATAAAAGTATTGCAAACTGTTCTATTGCGCTGTGCTTGATTTGTGAAGTTCACTTAAACATTAAATGAACACTTCATACAACAGGTTATTTCCCACAAAACTTGATGAAAACTAAAGTGTCATGGATTTCTTCTCAAGGCCCTATTCAATATACCAATCTAGCTATAGCAACTGTAATCTTCAACACGTTCATTAAATATTTGTACACTTCGGTAATCAGCAACAATTTTTAATATCAACATAGCATCCCAATAACACCAAAGATACTTCAACAACTGACAATTATTAATAATAATAATAACAATAATAATGATTTAAAACAACTAATAATAATAATTATTTAAAACACTAACAATAATAATGATTAAAAACAAAACTAACAATTATAATGATTAAAAACAAACAAAAAGGGGGGGGGGGGGTGTGCATGGTGACATATTATGTTGTGATCAAGTACATGACCACAAGATGTACAGGCTACCACAATTTACATAAGATGTAACAACCGATCTTAATTTTTATCTTCTTCCGTTGTGATTCAAAGTCTGCCAATCAGCCCAGTCAGGTGTAGCAGAGTACAGCTTGAATTTTTTTGTTCTCAAGCCAACTATCCGTTGCTGAAAAAAATGAGAGTGAGGACATTTCTACGAAAGCCGGGTCAGGACTTCCAACTTCCGACTTCCAAGTTCTTTTTTTCACTTCCGAAGTTTTTTTTCACTTCGAGAGTTATTGCCCTTTGGTGATTATTTCGTAGATGAAGGGAACATTCTCTTCATTATCACAATACTGGTAATATTGACAGTAAAACGACCCTTTAAGGCAACCAATTTTCACGTAAGTTTGGATGGTGATATTGATCTCCTGTTTTTCATCAAAAGAAACATGAAAGATCAACATCTACCAACTGCCATAACATATCTCTCTACCTCAGCCTCAAGCCAGTGGCAGACTGGTGTAAGAAATGTTTATATTATAGTCCCATAAAAAGACTTACAGCAAAATTACTGTTCAGTGAGCATTTGTTTGTATTTTGTATTTTATTATTATTCATGTTAGATTGATACCAACCCATAATTCAAACTGGAAAATTTCAAAAAAGTCAAATGATACTCAAATCAAAGCAGTGCTAATATTTTAAAGTTGTTCAACACGTAGATTTGCTCTCGAGATTTTCGAGATACTTAGAAAACATTTTGTTAATTTTGTTTCTTTCAAATAAAGTTTTTTTAAACACAAGTATTTTATACACATAATCAAATATATTGCTTTATATTAGGCATTATTTCTACATAAAGCGAGACAGCCTGGTCGGTATTTCTGGGTGAAAGTATGTTTAGAAGTAATAATTTGACCAGTTCCAGCAAGTCACCAGAGCATCCGAATCGATCATGTTGTGCGCATTGGTTGTGGCAGGCTATTACGTCTTCTGGATCAATTTGTACACCATAGTTATGGGTACCATTTACTTCTGGGTTGTAGAACATCAAATCAGGTTTTCCACTGTCAGCTTCAGCATTCCTTTTAGTATTTATTACGTGTAAATTCCACTGGGTGGCAAGCATGTGTATTTCTCTGCTTGCAGTAAATGCATAAATCAAAACCGTAGACATTCTGTGTGTGAGAAATGGTCCTCTTGCATGATTCCAGAATCTCTCATGTCTTTGAAGTAGGCTATCCACCAGTCTGTGCCTTGTTTTCTTAAGGTATATAGACCACCAGGCCTCAATTCGTTGATTTGCTGTACTTTTACTTTGGCGGAAACTGCTGATGCCAGACAAGTCATCGTCAGAATTTCTCCTAAAAATGGTTGCAGGCACCTTCTTAGTGAGTTTTCTGTACCCGAATCACATCTAACAACCCTTGGAACGTAACCTTTTTTTTTTGACACACGCTAGGTAGTAAGACGCTACTACTGCAGGGTCGTTGTTGGTGTAACTAACTTCAAGCCAGAGGACGTTCCTGCTATAACCGTCTATAGCTCCATGTATAGCAAATCGGAAAGGTTTTAACTTATCATACCCATCGATATGCCATGATATAAAGTTAGGACCAGGTGACGAGTATTTTCTTCTAATTAAACGATGAGCTTTCCTCCTTTCAATTCCTGAAGGATCCAACAGGCGAAGAATGTCAAGAATAGTATCTCTCTTAGCAGTTAACCTGTGGATTCGGGTTACTTTTCTCCACATAGCTTTGTACGCAAGAGAACTTCCACTCCCATTCAATTCTTTCTCCACCGTTTTATTCCGAGAATTTTCCCTCGTGGACTGGCCCTGTAAGTTGAATTTACAAATTGTATCTGTAATTTAGTAGAATTGTATCTGTAAATAGAACTCTGTGATTTGGATATAGAAGTCCCAGTTTTAAAATAAACACCCATGTCGTTATGCAATATGGCATGTTCCAAGTTACATTTAAGTTGACATAAATCAGTGCATCAATAATCAAAATCCGTACAAGCAAAATAATTCCGCCAATCAAAAATCTTGTCCAGAGCATGACATAATCGGGTGCAAGAATTATATAGCAGTTGACTTCCCATACGAGAAGTACCATAGGTGTTTCGAAAAGAGTAAGCAAGATCTGTTTCGCACGCAACATCCGCCACTACTATAAAGGTCAAAATCATGCAAGTGCAACGAGATCAGTTCATGCCTGACTAAATAAATCTTTGTCGAATCCTACCCAAATTCGAACTTCTTGTGGATATAAACATACATACTAAATTTTATACAAATAAGATAATAACTGTGGCTTCCATCTTATTCACAACCCACATAATATCCATGTATCAAGGGTTGAATCTCCTTATCTTTTGTCAAAAAATTGAACAGTTAATTGTGTCGACAATATATGTCCCAATTAGAAAGTGGGCTTAATATAAAAAAGGACTTAAAACATTGGATATGATCACAAAAGCGTAGGCTTACTTACCAGCTCGCTGGAGGAAAAAACTTGGAAGTCGGAAGTGGAAAAAAACTCATGCCCATGGCACGCTGCTTTCATTGTTTACGTTCGCAATCAAAGCAGCTGGAGTGATTTGAATTTTGGTTGGCTGAAATTTTGCAAGACAGCAGGGCCAATTTTGAATGGACATTATTTATCTGTTAATACGTAATTTTTGTCACTTGTTTTACCACTATCTCGAGGAAATATGGCGAATGAGGGCGTTGTCCTGACACGACTCCAACAAACGCATTGCAAATATTGTTGATGGATTGGGTGGTTCACGTTGTTTTAACTCATTTAAATTTAAACGAATTTGTGGATTGAATAATGAGCACGGAATGATTCGTGTCTGATATGAGAGAATATTGAATGTCTATGTTAAATATTATATAATGTCAACCCAATTAAAGAGAAACTTAATACATTTCTATATAATTATGTAAGAAAACAATATACGTGTTACCAATTACTTTTCTACGCCTATTTATTATTTATGTGATAGGATCAGGCACGTAGCTACATTGATTTAAAATCATTTTCCCCTAGAAAAATTTCTAACAACCGTCCAATTCCATAACCACAAATAAACACCATACAAAATTGCCCCTCTGGATAAATTACTTGCCCCTCCGAACAATCAAGTCTGGCTACGGGCCGGAATAGGATTTGCAGATTTGATCGAATGTTGAGTTGTGATCGACGAAGTTGGGCCTGGACAGGTTGCTTACTACCTTTGTAATTGACCGAGACTACAGAGGCTATTGAATCTGATTGGTTCTAAATCCACGTCCGTTTTGATGATGGGAAAATATATTAAAATAATTCATTTATTATGACAATGTCTTCGTATTTTAATTCTTTGCTTGAAAAATCAATAAATATAAAATTCGCGGATAGAATTATCAAATATAAACTGACAAAACTGTTAATTTGTTTCGGTTGTAAACTTAGAGGTAGAATATGCTTAATTGTAGTAATCTCCCTTGAAGGAATTCGAAAGCGTCGTAACAGAAATTTCAATGAACACTCCCATAATATATCCTCGTCATAGACAGATATAGTTGTGGCGTCAGAGACTAGACCATAGTTCGACCAAGAAGAACCTGAGCAGAATTCAGTCCAGTTTCAATAGAGCAGATGTACATAGTTTGTATGTTTGATTGAACTTTAATTTTTGAAGACTTGATCAGAATAGGATGTTTGAAAGCAATTTGTTTCTCGTGCTACATGATTGACCTACGGACAAACTAAACCCCATTCGGTTCTAATGGCTGACTGCGAATCGCCTGATAAAAAGCGAGATAATCACATCCGAAGGTTGTTCAAGGTATTAGCGGCTCTATTCCTAAAGAATCCAAAATGATGTCTCATCAAATAGCCATCTGCGAATATCATTAACCACAGTCTTTTGGAAGAATGTCAACTTCTTGAAAACATTTTAAAATCTATCGATTTTAGACACACAGGAAACAAACAATACGAAACATTCGTCTAGATAACTTGACTGTTAAGTAATTTTTAAGGATGGCTTAAACAGTCTATAACGGTAGGTTATAAACTGAGATAAATCCAGAGTTTTCGTTCAAATGATACTAGTGTACAGTAGAAACTGTATTAAAAGACCACTTAAGGGAATAAACCAAAACGGTCTCTTAATGAAGGCGGTCTCCAAGAAGAGTATTGGGTCAGTATACTAAATCATCAAAATCGATTTTAAATTTAGTTTTTTTATCCATTCTGATTAGCCTCCCGCCGAAAATTATAGTTTTTAACGTAGAAATTTCTAGAACAACTTTCACCTGTAAGTAGATAAAATAGCTGAGATATCCATAAATACAAAGGAAGATAAGAAGGAAGCTATTAGTAATTTGAGGTCCAGTGAATATTTATTTCTAATACTGATCGATAGCTAGAATAATAGACTAATTCAGTTGAGTGAAACACTTCAACTTTTTTCAGTATTGCAAAACACTATAGATCCTCCAGGCCTTAAACAATACTTCATACTTGCATTTTTATGAAATTCGAGTAAAAACATCAAACTTATTTGCACCAAAAAGCAAATTTACATTATCTTATACAATATTCCACTCAATGGGGGGTGGCGGTGTCTCGGTCGGCTATATAGTTCAATCCCAGCAAAGTTCTCGAGAGTGTGCTATCATTTTTCAATCAGATTACCCCCAGTCAGTTATGCATGTAGATGTGTTGTCTTAAAAGGGTGTATAGTCGTGCAGATGGGACAAAAGATGGGTCATTCACTACCGGCTATATATCTAAAAGATGCTCCAACCGTTTAAAGGTCGGCTACAGAGATGACTAATTCCACTGCTCTGGCAAAACTGTCCTCTGCATCACGTTTCCCGTCCTCACCCAATGATCTGCACTTACAGACTGATTTTCGAGTTTTTACCAAATGGATATCGTTATCTAAATATTTGCTTTGACAGCTGATCATTATCTTGCGAATCAACAAAACGTAGTTTTCCAGGTAGTGTATTTATCCTTGCAATCTTATCGGCAATTTGTACAAATTACTTTTCCTATCTGAATGATTTCAATAACGACAAACAACTACATTTTACACTGATAACATAAAAGATTTCCTATTTGTTTTAACAATTGTCACTTATAGAATATTACAATGTAGAGTCGCCTTTTTTAAAAAAAATCATGTTTGAGAATGGTTAGGGACTGGACAATCAAAAATTATCTATACACCGTTTTCCTTTTATAAACCTTATCAACATGACGTACAATTTTCGGTTACTCTATTTTTCAGGCATCAACACTCCGAAAATAATGAGGAATTAACAAGGAATATTACTTCTTTGAATGAACATAAAAATGTAATAATTATAAAACAGAATCCCTCTGTAATCCGATAAATCGACAAAAATAAAAACGTAAAAAAATAAAAGTTTGCATAAGTGTTCGTTTGTTTTAATGAACAAATATTTACCGGACAACGTCAAAAACCTATAATATTGGTTTAAATTTCATTGATCAAAATGTAGCAAATCTGAATCGGAGTACATAATAATAATCCTTTTTAGTTTGGTTGGAGGCAACTATAGAAAATTGACATCAAATGATTCTAAGAGGTATAAGAAGAGCTTTGTTATTTTCCTAATTTTTCTTGTAGGAAATCTGTATAATTATATCTATATTTATCGATATTGGCTAAACGCTGAATAAATTACTAATTTTAACATTGGTCGTAGTGATTATGGAACTAATGGATTACTAAATTTAAAGTTACAGCACTGCTGGATAATACATTACTTGGTTTTAAGTGTATGGATAGTTGATCGAAAATGTACTGAGGTTTCCCCTTTGAACACAAGAAAATGACACCCACGTTGCTTGGTATAAGTATTTTGGTAGTTTTCGTGACTAAAGTTAACACTCAGTTGAGGGAGACTCGTTATGTGAAAAGTTTTTTTGAGAAATCTGCGTGGTCAGTTACTTCTGCTCACAGTAAAAGATCATCAAATATTAATTCATATTTTCAATGTGCTGCACAGTGTTCTTCTGATGACCTGTGTACCAGATTTGAGTTTTGTCCGAACAGCTCACCAGAAAAATGTACTTTGTACCAAAGTGGAAGTACCTGCCACGAAGAAAATACTGAAAAGACCAACACTGGTTGTAAATGTTTCAGAATGGTATTTTTGTTTTCATTTCCTTCTTATTGACGAGAGCTTATGCAGTCTAATAAAAATAAGACAAAACTTTTGTTCCACTTTTTATCAGCTTTTATAGACAGCTTTCTATAGACCCTAACTTAAGTAAAAGCTTATAAAAAAAGGAGCGAATTTTTTTTTTTATTAAACTGGAGTTCATGCTGTTTTGGAAACAAATGACACCTTCTTTGGGAAATTGATGTCCACTTTCTAAAATTGAAACTGAAGGGCCGCGTTTGAGCAAAGTGGCCAAATTAACCGAATAGGAGTTAGCAACGCTTACTCCTCTTACACTTGATACCACTTTTCATTAAGAGATACTTGTTCATTTATGATTGATATACTTCTTCATAAAATGAAAACTTCATTAGCTGCTATTAATGTATTGATTTTGGAATTCGGATTTTGTTTTTGGATCGTTAGTAATCGTTTTTTTTTTACATGGATAATGTAATTGATGATGCAATAATTAATATTTTAGGAATTGATGAGGTATGAAGATGAAACTTGTCGTTGTCCTGTAGGATATTATGGTGACGGTGATCAGTGTTGTCAACATGTCATACAAGGTCAGATTTGGAGTAAATGCTTTCAGATGTTAGGTTAAGAGGAGCGAGTTAAGATTAAAGTAGAATTGTCTGCAATCATACGCTTTAAAATGCTTTTGTTTTTAATGAACGCACTCGACTGACTCAAAATAATTGTTCCTCTGACAATTGTTACGAATTCAAACAAGTCTGACTTAAAGAAAAACAAACTGATTTTTTTTTGCTTACACATACGACAGACTAATGACTATTGAAACAATGTAAAATGCTCTACAAGGAACGATTAAGAAAATGTGTACTACAACGTAAGATCAGAATCGGGATAAGTAAAAATGCTCTAAAAGGTAAGATTAAGAATGAAGTTAAGTCAAATGCCTTACAAGGTAAGATTAAGAATGGTGTTAAGCCAAGTGTCTTACACGGTAAGATTAAGAATGGTGTTAAGTCAAGTGTATTTCACGGTAAGATTAAGAATGGTGTTAAGTAAAGTGTTCTACAACGTAAGATCAGAATAAGGATAAGTAAAATGATCTTGAAGGTAAGATTAAGAACGGTTTTAAGTAAAATGATCTGGAATGTAAGATTAAGAATTATGTTAAGTAAATTGTTCTAAAAGGTAAGATTAAGAACGGTTTTAAGTAAAATGATCTGGAAGGTAAGATTAAGAATGGTGTTAAGTAAAATTTTTTCTACAAGGTAAGATTAAGAATTATGTTAAGTAAATTGTTCTAAAAGGTAAGATTAAGAATGGTGTTAAGTAAATTGTCTTAGAAGGTAAGATTAAGAATGATAGTAAGTAAAATTTTCTACATGGCAAGATAAAAGAAGGGTGTTCAGTAAAATTTTCTACATGGTAAGATTAAGAATGGTGTTAAGTAAATTGTCTTAGAAGGTAAGATTAAGAATAGTATTAAGTAAGATTTTCTACATGGTAAGATTAAGAATGATGTTAAGTGAAATGTTCTACAAGGTAAGATAAAAGAAGGGTGTTCAGTAAAATTTTATACAAGGCAATATTAGGAATGATGTTAAGTAAATTGTTCTACAAGGTAAGATCAGATGTTAAGTAAAATTTTCTACAAGGTAAGATTAAGAACGGTGTTAAGTAAACTGCTCTTGAGGGTAAATTTAAGAATGGTGTAAAGTAAAATGCTCTACAAGGTATGATTACGAATTGTGTTAAGTAAAATGTTCTACAAGGTAAGATTACACTAAGTAAGACTGAGAAGTGAAATGTTATACTAAGTAAGAATTGAGAATTTGATAAAGTGAAATGTTACACTAAGTAAGTCTGAGACAAAGTTTGGGTATTTAATACAGTAAAATGCTATAAACTAAGTAAGTTATTCTTAGAATTTAATAAAGTGAAATGTTACACTAAGTAAGAACATAGAATTTAATAAAGTGAAATGTTTTACTAAGTTAGACTGATAATGTATTAAAGTGAAATGCTATACTTTGTAAGTCTGAGAATTTAATAAAGTAATATGTTTCACCAAGTTAGACTGATGATTTATTAAAGTGAAATCGTATACTAAGTAAGTCTGGGAATTTAATAAAGTGAAATGTTATACTAAGTAAGACTGAGAATTAAGTAAGACTGAGAATTGAATACAGTGAAATGTAATACTAAGTAAGACTGAGAATTAACTAAGACTGAGAATTGAATAAAGTGAAATGTTATACTAAGTAAGACTGAGAATTAAGTAAGACTGAGAATTGAATAAAGTGAAATGTTATACTAAGTAAGACTGAGAATTAATTAAGACTGAGAATTTTATAAAGTGAAATGTTATACTAAGTAAGACTGGGTATTTAGTGGGGAAAGGTCATAACCGCTGGCCAACAATAAGGACCAGCTTAAACTAAGTTTCGACAGACTGAAATTCGTTTTTTCTAGACCTGTTCTTAAAAATTACGAAAGAAGTGGAAAGAACATTAAGTCGCAGGACAAGTATTCTTTGTTAAAAACCTTTCTATCGATTAACGACATACATAAATATTATTTTCTTCAGAAAGTTTATTTTGACTTAAATAAGGTAACGATTATTTAACTTTAAGCAGCATACTATTTTTTTATGGCATAGTCTTTGTTTATATAATATATTATATTATTAACAAGTCTTGTTTTCAAAAAAACGTCAGAATTTGAAAGAAAAAATGTTTTGTTTCGTGACAGAAAGTTGACATCGAGTGCAATTGTGTCCCATTATATCAGGATCCTTGATCGATTGCATTATCCCCTTCCCCCCAATAAATCATCACTATTTCGTGATTTTCTTTTAGATTTTCTCTGCAATCTTTTTCAAATGTCATAATTACCCCCTTCCCCCAAGTTGAAAACTCCTGTGTTATATCTTAACGAATACATGCACACAGCATTAGCAAAAGCCTAGATAAGCAGGACCTACAACTTTATTTCCATTAATTTGTAGTTGACTCAAAATGTTGTCACAGCGGACGTGTGACATCGATAAAGTAAGGACAATACTCTGTTAATGCCCGGTTGTGTCTTTTCAGACTGTACTGAAGGTTATGTTATGCTTGATATTTTGAAGGATAGAGGGTTCTTTATTACGTCCATTAAACCGCTGCCTGACCCTGAAGAACCATTTGAGGTTTTATGTTATTTGGAATGGGGTGGATTTACCATAATCCAGCAACGTGAACATCTTTCTCAATCTACAGATTTCAACAAAAACTGGATTGAATACCGCAATGGATTTGGAACTTTACATGGAAACTTTTGGCTAGGGTTGGAAAAAATGTACAAAATTCTCCAAAACAACAATACAAATGGTTTTAATTTGCATATTCATTTCTTTGATACAGTCTATTCACAATGCACATGGCAGGTAGATAAATTTAACCTAGAAGGCGAATCTTCTAATTACACGGCAATTTTTAAAAATGCCTATTTTTTATATTCTGATTGGTGTGATGGGATGTTCACCAGTTTAACTCCAGATTCCAGACCATTTTCTACGTTTGACCACATCAGTTATCCTGATAACTTCAACTGTACTGGTCGAGAAGAGTCCGGGTGGTGGTTTGCTGATGACGTTAACTGCTCGTTTTCCAACATAAATTCTAAACGTATTGATGATGATATAGTAATTGAAACGGCTAATGGTACTGTCAGAGCTCGAAAAGTTATCATGCAAGTCAAAAGAGCGTAAAGAACTAGAATATATAAGACGATGTCAATAAAACGATGGATGAATTATATTTCAATAAATATAGTCGCATCAATGTTTTCTTTTCTTGGTGATAGCGCCATAATTGAGCTAAATCTTGTACCTTTTAGACGATAAATAATGCGATATACGGTATAGTCAACGATAGACATCAGATATCTTACCAATGTACATAAGCATAGAAATGTGAGTGAGAAAACCTATAGGATATTTCATATCTGTCCAAAATGAATAATATATGGTTAGCAACTAAGGTGCATCTTCACTACAAACCACTCCTATTTATAGAAAACTGAATTTCAGTTTATTTTGATTATTGGTCTCCAAAGTTATCGTTCTTTATGTAACTTTCGATGTGATCGTTGTCGCAATGGAGGACACATGTTCATGTAAAATATTACTGAAACTAGATTGAAAATCTATATAAATTTATTAAATGAAATCAATAATGAGATGTTTTCTTTTTATTTTTGATACCGCAAAATTTAACTTGTGGTTTATTTTACTTAGGATTCTTTGGAAAAAGACTTTTGATTATGACTAAACGTGCCACCTTGACACACATATTCTACAAGGATAACAACTTAAATTCAACGAAGAGTCTGTCTACCGGATGTTCGTTTGAGAGGTCAGTTGCAACGAATTTGGGGTACAAACAGGGTGTAGACTGAATAGGGGACGTGACATTCCAAATGCTAAAGCACTGTCGAAGCTCCATTGGCACAAGCATCCTTTGGAGGAGAATTTTGAAAAACAGACTTTAGTTGGCACTTTCTGGCAAATACTTTGGGGAATACACCTATAAAAATCATATTTTGAAATTTCTTGGAAAATAGTACAATTATTGATAAAACAATAATCGTTCATGTTTCAAAGTGTTTTTTCGTAGGAACAAAGAGTAGCCGAATATTAAAAATGTTTTGTTTTGTTCCACACAGCAGTTAGCTGGAATATAATCTATTGTTTTGAAACATTATATATTATTGTGATATTATATAACAACCTTACTATTTATGAAAACAGTTTTTAATAATTAATAAGTAATTTCAATATAAAATAATCTTCAATGGACTTTTCGTTTTTTATTGAAGATGATATCTTTATATTTAACGATTCTAAATACTTACAAATGCTTAAGATAACAAACTTTCTACTTCCTCTTGGGGAAAGGTGCATAAGTAAAATCCATATTTATGTTAGTCGTTGAAAGTTCAAGAATTTATTGATTAAGTGCCATGCACACGCCATGTGGCATATAATTTACAAATTTGTAATATCTGTTCAATTATGTAGGAGGAAGATGTTTGGCGAATTAAACCGTTCATTGGATGAACAGTTTCAAAACTGTGATCTGAAGAATATCTTCTAGCTTGCCAGGTTTGTTCAAATTTGACAAAAAATGTCTGACGTGATTAAAAAGGCAAAACCATAATCATCTTTCGAACAGAATTTAAACACTTTTAGTTTTAAGAATGATTTTTGCGTTGATAAGTAAAATAAACATGATCACGCATTATTACACTGAATATAGAGGACAATTGTTTTCGCCTGTAAGTTTGAATTTATTTTGGCTGCAATTGTGAGAGAACATAGGTTTTCTATTCAAATCATATTTAAATGAAAAATAAGTCAAAAAGTACTGTTTTGAAGCTGCAATACAAATTTCAATATACAGACTGATTTGCGAAGACAGAACCTAGGAAATTACCAGACTGGGCGTCAACCGTACAGCAGTCAAAATACTGCAATTCGTCTCCATTTCTAGCATTTGTATTCCCTCAGCTCGGTACCTGGCATTGTCACATCGAGGGATGGGGTAGGGCGGGTCACGCGTCTGCTTCAAAACAACAAGATTTGTTAAAACAAAATCAGGTCGACACAGATTTATCAATTTCTGTTGTTATTGTAAAATCAAGCTTAGATTTCCATTAGTGCCAACACTGCGTTTTATCTTTTATATAAAACTCAATAGATATTTCAAAATTTAACGAGTTAATTGGTGCATACCTCCATTTAATCCAGGAAAACGCATGGAATCTTGCTTCTGCTGATTAACTGTTTGTGCGTATATTAATTTACTGCTTGGACATATTGATTACTATTAATACTTAATGATATCAACACAAAATGCATATCAATCAATTTTGTATCATTTTTAATCTTTACAGTTACCATCAAGCACATACTACATTTTCATTTATTTATCGAGTAGGGGTTATTGTTTGCTAGACATGGTGACCAACGACCAATTCCAACCTTACATCTAAAGAGAGAACGACGGAAGTTAAACAACAACTGAAGAAATTTGTTCTAGTTGAAAATATTAATTAATTTCCCTGCCACTATATTTCATTTCAAATAATTACTTAGTATGCACTTTGTATGCACTTGTTACAAATTTGGCCAAATTTCACAGAGAAAATGAATTTTTAGAATTCGCGACCAATTTCGGATATACGTCAATTAGACACAGTCCTACAATTTCGACTTTTGCGGACTTTTAGCATGTCATTTCAGTGAAAAAATATTTTAATGTCAATTTGAGTGACCAAATTCCGTGGAGAAAACATTTAGGATTGAATTTTAACGAACTTGTAGTATGCCATTCAAGGACCTTGCTGAAATGCATTGAAGTGAGAATATCTTTATTGTCATTTATTCGACTAGCCTACATCCAATGAAAAAAAAATTGGCGGCCATTTTGGATTTACTTAAATAAGACACACTAAATGCACTTCAATGCAATATCACATCGCTTTAATAAGAATTGATTAAGTTAAAAGTTAAAATAATGCACTCTTTTGTTATCAAATTTACATACTATGTACAAACAAATTTTTCAAATGTAGATAAGTTCAAGTTTCTTGTTTTATTGTGTTTATTTTAATATCATTTTTTTAAATTCATTGATTCACCTATTGTTCAAAATTCTAATTTCTATTTCACTAGGGGAAGGTTTATACATTTTATAATTTGTTTGAAACAATAAATTAAAAATAATAAGTTAAAGAGTGCCCTCAAAGAGTGCCCTCTATACGACAATGATATATATAGGTATTGACAAGCGTGCAATAAGCATAACATTTTCATCTAAAAAGATTTATACCAAGGTCGCGTACTGTTGACGTATATTTCAACCAATCACGGTGCGTAAATGCAGAGTCTATGTCTAAATATCGTCTGTGAATTGAAAACCTAAAGTAGAACGATATGAGCAATGACATTGAGACTGCCGACAATAGCTCATAAAAGTGATTCTGATTGATTGAGTGATATAAATAGCTTGAAACATCATCAGTACGAGTTGGTAAAAATCTCGTAAGATTACAATCTAGACCCACAAAAAAAAAATAATAAATAAATAACAACGAAACGAAATTGAAATCTAATTTTAATTAGATTGACACAGGGTTGATGTTATCTGCGATCACGGCATTTATGAACAATGACACATTTGGATGTCCTTGGCAAAACACAGTAGGCACATTAATGTTAATGTAATACTCAATCGCAAGGGGCATGTACATGTGGCGATCCGGATAAAAGAGAGGTGCATGTTAATGGTGCGTTTTAATGAATTACGAGAGAACCGGGCGTCACATAAGAATTATGATATATATAGATAGCTGAAGTGAAACTCTATTGCATGCTCAATATTTATGTAAAGTTCTATCTTTTATAAATGTCTTAAACCAAGATAATGTATATCCCCCGAGAGACTTTCTCATCACATTAACCGTTTTAGTTTCAATTGTACCATTTTGAGATAATTATATCCACCATCATCTGCTTTCATCTTTATTCCACTGAGATCACGTGGACTGTTCACATTTTCAAAGGAACAACCCGGTTGATTTCCAAACCACCAACCGGAAGCTTGTGCAGCTGGACAACCATTTCCATAAGAATCGTGATCGAATGTTGAAAATGGCTTCCCATTGGTACGGAAATTATTAAAATCAATAGATCCTTCACACCATTTGGAGCAGTGTCCAACAGCTGTAAATGTTCCTGTAAAGTTGGATGCCTCATTTCCAATATTGAAATTCCCTACATTATATTGGCAGTTATCATTATTAGTATCTGTCATGTCAAAGTCCAGTTGAAATCCATTACCGTCGTTATTCAAAATGTGCTTCACCTTATCAAATCCGAGCCAAAAATTGGAATCGGTATGTCCAAAACCTTTCTTATATTCCTCCCAGCTTCGGTTGAAGTTTTCAGGGCGGCCATCTAATCTTCGCGCTTGTATGACTGTCAAACCACTGTATCCGAAATGACATAAGACTTGAAATGGCTCGCCGTCATACGATGTCGGCTTTATGTACGATAATAGGTCACCCTTATCTTTGAGATGAGGAACTGTGTTTTGACCGTCAGTACAATCTGGAAGAATAAATAAAAATATTTGTCGAAAATTATGGTTTGATAAAGTTGATGATCCTTCTCTTCATGTCAACCCAGAGCAAATATTAGGTGAGTCAGTTTCAATCATATGAATCAAGTATCAATTTGAGATGCTCGTTAACCTGGAGATCCGGGTTCGACTGTAGATTAGCTCCAGATGAAAACGTTGGATTTGTCTCTCTTCAGATGGAGGGACTGGCGCTTGTTTGGATGATTAAAAAAAAATCTAGACCTCTTGAAACAATCTTTCACGACAAGTAAAACAATGACTTTTACTGGTTTATTCCCATATCGCCCCTTCCCCATTTGTATCCAATCTTTTCCAATTTATTCCCTTTCCATTTTGCCCTTTTCCATTTGTCCCTTTCCTTTCTCATTTTCGTATTGCTGTCCCATTTTGCCCCTTTTTTATTCCGCTCCTCTCACAATTTTTTTTTATATTGAATTTGAAAAGAGAAAGGGAGAAATGGGAAGGGGCAAATTGGGGATGGGGCGATATGTAGCAAAATAGTAAGGAGCTATATGGGATAGGGTCCGAACAGGAATGATTTAAGAATGAATTCCTACTTGGTAAATGTGAGGCGAAAGGGGCGAGATGGCATGACACCAATATTACTATCTTCGAAATAGATTACATTTCAAATACCTTTTATGATCAATTTACAACAATTTTCGCCATTTCCATGATAACCAACGGGACAGTGACAATTAGTGTCCTGGTGTTTAACAAATAACTGAAAATAAAAAAATAACATGAATACTATATCATGTCCATGTATATATGTAGCACTTTATTCATGTATTCAATTTTATCATTTATCAAAAATCAACTGACTTCCCGTTTGTCTTCAATTAGATAAGAGTTGCCTAGAATTCCTTTAATACATTTTAATGTGTTAATTATTGAGCCAGAATGTCTGTGTCATTTTACCTATTGGTTGTTTTTCATATTGTACATTTTTGCATCTTCGTGACCAACGATCGTGTTCATGCGGATGTTTTTTTTTAAATTGTATTTCATCGATTTACCTATAATTAGTCGTATCCTTGAAAGAATAATATATAATAAAACAAAAGTAAATTAATATCATTCTATCAAGAACACTTCCGGAAGACACTCATCACACACAATGTGGCGGAGTTACAGACTGCTGATTACAAAAGGCAGAACATCAGAAAAAATAGCTATGTAATAAAACTAATGGAATTGTTTTTAAAGAATAAAGAAAGAACTTGATCGGTTTTTGAACAAAAAAATAGAAAATACAACTGGATCTTTGTTGCTAAAATTGAAAAAATCTTGATGTGTTGTAAAATTTAGAAGTACATAGAAACATAATGTGTAGATGACAAGAAATGCACATTTTGCTGATATTTATTTTAGCTTTTAAAGTTAGTTATGGTTTTGGTAGGTGTTATAAAACTACTTTTCGAATTTAAGCAAAATAGAAGCCTAATTGTATAGAAATATGTCTCTTACATATTCTGAAGATTTTTATAAAAAAAAACCGAGGCCCAACGCCAAGTAAATAGCATATTTTATTTCCACGTTTTTGAAAATGAAAATTTTGCATGCTGCCCCCGCTTCTTTGTTAATTTGTCATCTAAGGTGTTGAAACCTGCCCTGCGTTCCAATAAAAAAAAACGTTTCCGAACTTTTCGAAATAACGTCTCGTAACGTCTCTGAATATTCCCTCCGCTCAAATAATTGGATTAGTAATCCGTGATATAAGTAGAAATGATGACTTTCACGCCATTGTTTACTTCCTTTTACTGATTGTAACTTTATACCAACCCTAGTCCCAGCAAATGCAAATGTTTCGCTGTTTTTGACGTTTTATGTTTTGTTCATCAGACAAGGATCAATCCAGTCTGTCCATCAACCTGCATATCTAAACTGAAGAGAGTTAGACGTCCTTCTTTTCAGCAGCTAATGAAGACGGGCAGTCCAGATATAAGCCTACTCATTTTCATCACAACCAATAAATATTCATCCATTTAGTCATACATTTCTTTCAGAACATTTTGATATTTCTTTAGGGTCCATCCTGGTATAAGAGTGTGTGATGATGAACAATTTCACCAATTTTGGTCTATCAAAATCTGTAAAGAGCTGTTCATTCTAGACGTTAACGAGCTGAGAGTTGAACGCGTTTCGAATAAAAAATTTTCACGATGTGTTCATTCTTGAGATTTAATAAATAATTTCACACAGAATTGTGCCTTTTAGAGAGTGTTTACGAGCAATATGGACGGACCGACATACATGGGTGACAACAATATACGCTCCACATTTCAAATGGGGTATGAAAAAAATATTTTGCATTGCCATTCATTTTTGAGTTTGTTTGCATTCTGGTTTTAACTGATAATTTTGTTTTTTTTTAAACTACGACGTTGCAGAACGTAAACTTAACACTAAACACACGGAATATGTGTAAGCAATAAAAATTAATTGTACCTACCAGCTTGTAACATGTACAGTTGTCAAGGTTTTTATTTCCGTCATTTTGACACATGGTACCACTTGAAAATAGCGTACACTCTCCCACTTTGCCATACACAGACTGACAAAATTCAAATCTAGTGCACATTGAATTTCGGCTACATTGTGTGGCACAATCAGAAATTGAGTAAACATCCACTCCTGGACCAGCTACTTGATGTGATATAGAAAAACTGTCGTTAAAATGTCCACTTTTCTCAAAATTAGCTAAACTAAAAGCCTTCAAACCCCCTACGACAAATAATACAATGTAGAGAACAGTATCATGTGCCATGTTGGTCTTCGATAACCGAAATGACTGTCCTTGCCGACTGTCATAAATTTACTTAGTGTATTCTCAATCGATTGTTTTTACAACACAAATTCGTGGTCGTATTTGGATAATAATCTTGTATCTTCATAGTCGTATAGTTGTGTCCTTAGAGATATCCGTTTTTTGTTTCAAATTTACAAAACGATTTGTATTTATTTAACAAACAATCATCACTGAAGGTTTAAGAAGTAGTATAAAGGGTTGATCGCCTCCTGTCATTTCAAAGCTGCTGGTGTTCCGATTGGCTTTTGCCTGCTGTCATGTCAGAGCTATTGTAGTTCAGAATGACTTTCAAACTGCTGCCATTTCAGAGCTACAGCTGTTCAGAATGACTTTCACCTGCTGCCATTTCAGAGCTTTTGCTATTCAGAATGGTTTTTGTCGCTGCCATTTCAGAGCTACAGCTGTTCAGAATAGATTCGCCTCCTGCCATTTCAGAGCTGTTACTTTTAAGAATAGCTTTCGCCTGCTACCATTTCAGAGCTGTTGCTGTTAAGAATGACTTTCGCCTTCTGCCATTTCAGAGCTACGGCGATTCAGAATGAATTTCGCCTGCTGCCCTTTCAGAGCTGCTGCTGTTCAGATTTACTTTGAAGTACAGAAGGTCAGGCATGTGGCAATCTGGCCCCGTTCTTGCCAGTCTTCTTTACGATGACCCAGAACACTACAGCTAAAATGTTAATACGAGAAGTTTCCTTATTGTTTTCAGGCAGTCATCGCCACTTGCTGTGCTGTACAGCAGTATGCGAATAAGAATTTTTCGTACATTCTCACTAACAGCTGATATTTAAAAAAAAAACTGTGATTGTTGCTAATTACAATGGCTATAGTGTTTTTGAATATTGTCTTGAAGATTATGGAAACTATTATTTTTAATATCTTTTTCAACATCTCAAATGACAACATTTTGACTGCAGCCCCTTTGAACATTCCTTCTTACACCAAACCAAAACCATTTTTCACCACCAATCTGTTCTCGTCCATGAGTCTACACTTGTTTGGAGTTGATATTTCAAGTTATGCGATTCAGAAATCGTGGTAGATTCATTCAGATTGATTCATTTTTAGGACGGGCTGCAGCATAGTCGGTTAGAATGACATTGGAATGACGTAAATTGCAAGGTACAAATGTTGGTCGTGGGTACTAATCTCGGTCGGCGTTAGTTTAGTTACCTCGAATAAGTCGTCTTTGATAATCTAGGCATTGGCTTGGCCTAGGATAGTTATTTGAAAAGATCCTCGCGATTCGAATCTGTTATCCTTGTTAAAATGGTTGTATCATTTTGTCTTTAATAGTATAGTTTAAGAGGGTATTCTTCCTTTAAAAACGTTAACAGGGTGTTAAGAATATCTGTATCAAGCACTTAATACGTTAACATTTTTATACGAACGTAATTCCAGACATAATAGTCAGAATCAAAAATAAGTCTGAAAAATAACACACTTGTTATTATTAAAAACACAATGCAATTACTTAAAAGAGCGAGTCGGCAATATATCGCGATTTCAAGTGTTTAATTATCTAGATGCTTTATTAAATCAAAACATTCCAGCAACGTTAAGTAAAGAAAAACCTTGGATTTTGGTATTGATTTGATGAAGTCTCATCGAAAGTAATTTACATGGTTTGATCTATATCGTTCAACTTATCAAAGAAAATGACGAATAAACAATCCTTAACAGCTATCCTCAAAATATCGTAAATTAACGTGCGAGTGTAAACATAAAGTAAGATTTGATAAAGTCAAATTCGTCCTCACTTAATGTACAAGATTTGCGTACGAACTTTTGACAAACGGGGATATGATGCGCCATTTTGGGGTATGATTTGAGAGTTGAATATATGTAGATAGTCTTCAGAAGTACTAGAAATGTACGAAAATCGCATAATTCATTCAAAAATATCTAAGAATTTATTTTCCTATTCCTATAGGTATCTTTTTCATTACAGTGTCTCAAGAAAAGACGACTCGTCTTTTTAACTTGCAAACACAGAAAATTCTTGACACATGGTTTTGAAGGTTCAAATTTCGACGGTGGGCTGTAAACACTATTACTGAGTGGCTAACCTAAAAAAAATTCCCGTTTCTGAGACTTTTGGCGCATCTGTCTAACATTTGTGTTGTTTGTCACGGATAATAATTTTTTGCCTGATTCTTACCCTTGTCAAAGAAAAGTCAGATGCTGATAATATCAATAATTAAAGTCAAGGTCTTTCATCTTTAAATTCAAACAATTCAGATCAAAGATTTGATGAATAGGACATTGAAATTAGATTTTCTTTCGTTTTCAGAATTTTTAAGTCTTTAAAAATATCAGTAAACAACAAAAAAAAGAGACAAAATTGTTATCTAATTTTAATGAGATTGATCTACATCAAAACCCTTCTTGATGACAAATGAACTAAATAATTCTATATAGACGTATAAAAACATAAGGAAGATCAATAGATACTATAGATTCTATTCCTAACTATAAGAAAACAATCCAAGATGAAAGCAATCCATCAAATATTAAAAACTTTAAAATGAAGCAAGATGTTACTTGCAAATTACAAAACTGGTAAACAAGGTTTTCAGCTAAAATAGTCGGAAAATCGCCAAGCAATTATTGAAATCAAATGAAATTCTCAAAAAATGAGAGCAATACATCAATATCATCTTAGTGAAAACAATATGTTTCCATGAAAGTTTTGTGTCTTGTTCTAGAAGCCTACATCTTTGCCCTGATATTAATAAACCAAGTACTAACGATCCGAACCGCAAATCTAAAACATCATTTTAGCGAAACATTGGTAGCAGTTAATGAACTTTTCGGCCTACATCTATCCAATTTCAATAGTCATGATGTCAATGATCATTTGTTATATTATGATAAGAAATTTAAATAACCAGAATCACGTGACGATATGCATAATTCCGGTGAATAATGTCTGCCATTCATTACCATGATATGTTGCAGAGCGCTAGGCTAGCTTCTATTAAACCTTCTTCGTATAATGCTCGAGATAATAAATGTGACATACAAATCCAAGCGGATGAAAACAACACTTCATGTCTAACCACCGGAGAGCGTAATTGGAAAAAAAGCAAACTCATTAAGAACTTTAGAAGCACTTGAGTGAATCCAGTGAATTAAATACTTACGCTGATGCAAGTGAATGATAAACGCAAATTTAATTACGATTAAATGTCTGTGTTTGTTGGACTGTTTAAAGTGGGCTTGAAAATTCTTTGTTTCTTGTAGTACTTTGAAATCAACTTAGCAGTTAAGCTTGAGGTCATTTTCGTTCTCTTATTAAAACAATATATAGTCCTTGTATCATAGATAATCTACACAGATAAAGACTGCCATGCAAACAATTTTTCCAAGGTAGCTCGACAACCCATTTCCTTAGCTAATAGTTGTTTTCTTTTAAATAATATAGTTTAGTTTATCCTGATCTATCATTTTAATATACTCTCCTCACGGTGATTAGACAAACACTCGGAATACAACAAAACAAAAAAATTCTCGTTTTTTGCCCAAAGCGTCATGCACCTATAATTGTACGTCAATTACATTCGTTCATATAGCGTAAAAATTTAATGTTTAAAACACAAGTATTATCAATAAATCTTAAAATCGAAACGACAGAAATGTAAATAATCGATATGAAATTAATTAGAATATTGGTTTGTGTAAAGGTATGAGAACGGGTCACGTTGGTACTGTGTATAGAGGCGTACTTACTAAAACACGAACCCACATGAACCGACCAGAAATGAACAGGAAACGATCATTTCAAATTCATACTTTTAAAAATAAAGCGCATGTTTGATCTGATTAGCATGCTTAGAATTTATAGCAAAATACTTTGAGGTCGTTACCTGGTTGTTTTTCTGCTCGGTTACTAGTCCTTTCACATTTTCTTTGGTCGTTTCCTGGTCGTTTCATGTCGGTTCGTGTTTTAGTAAGTACGATATATACGCTCGAAATATTCGATTAATTTTATCCAGGATACCAAATTATTTGTTGTCGGCAACTACTGATCCGTTCAACTGACACATTAATGAAGGACCAGTACCCGGCACATGACATATAATGGATATTGGTCTTTTTTCCCAAGTTACTCCAACTGCCCTAATTTGTTTAAACCACCTACCGTCATCCCCTTTTCCACCCAAACACAAAATAAAGAGCCAAAAAAAAATGAAAATTTACATCAGTAGGTTTGCACAGTCAGTAACTTCTTCTCCTGCAGTATTCTTTGGTATCCCAATGAATACTAGGGCAGTCACAAAATCCCTTTTCTAAGGGGCAATAATCCTGTTGTCTTTTAAAGTAAGTTCATCGCAACGCTTTCGGTGGACCTCAAACGATAACTTTTACATTTGTACGCATTTGGCATGAGTCATTTGTCCTGAATTCTAGAACCTCAGGTTGAGCCACCGCTCTGTTTCACAACAAAGCAGTATAACCAGCCAAAAACGAAAATCATCAATCAAATTAACACAAGGAACAATTGTATATTCAAGTTTTAATTTTTTTACACTATCAGTATTTTCTACACTGGTGTTATCTCCCGTTAATGTAAAATTTTCATTCCGATTCATAAGTATGTTCAGTTGCGACAGTTGGTTCAGGTAATTTTAGCAGTAACAGTTACTCTACATCTCATCTATCGACTGACGCGTTTTTTATGCACCCCCTGTTCTGAATAATATATCATTCAACCAATCAATGGCTCTATTCAAAGAACAGAAGTCCTTACTATGTGTGAAATTTTGAACAACTTTAGTGTTCCGGGGTTCAGTCCCAGCCTTTGGACTTAACAACCAATCTGGCTTCTGATAGTGATGCAGATCGAAGGTAAACGAATGATGTCCTTCGGGCAATACATAGAGACCCCATTTGCTACAGGCTGTGCAAGTTAAAATTCCCTCAAAAGTTACGCATTGAAAGAAAGCTTGGGTATGTCTTCCTTAGTAAACGTTATTTTGGTGAGTTAGATTACAAGACTAAAAGTAACATTTTATCAATGAAGTGCAAATTTATAGAATAAACAAAACAAAGCATTCAATTTGTATTCCGCCAAATCAACAAGCTATATTTGGTCAACATTTCAGATAAGTCTGACCAATCCGACTTAATCAAATACCTAGCTAAAAACTAACAAAATGTCCAGTCCAAAATACTAGTTTGGTAGATTCAGGCCGGCAATTTGTAGACACCCCTGAACATCTCATGACCGGATTTGCATCACGACACTCCGAATGTTGACCAGTGCTACATTAGTCTTAATGACTATATTTCCATTTGTATTCTTAGCGTTCACATTTAAATAACAACATTCAATACCAGCAAACCGCAATCCAGACGCATCATGGATTGTAAGATCTATGACCGGATTTGCATTATGGCACTCCAAATATGGACAAATCCATTGTTAGTCTTGATGATAATATTCCCATTGGTAGCCTTTGCGTTCAGATTGGAATAAGAACATTCGGTATCGTCAGCAAACCACCATCCAGACCCTTCATGGTTTATACAGTCTGTATTACCAGAGTTGTGATCATATGTGGTAAATGGTTGGTCGTCGGGTTCAAGACTGGTAAACATGCCGTCACACCAGGGGTCTTTAACTATATTCACAGAATGAATCTTTACTGTATAATTGGTCTTTTCATTTCCCATATTGAATAGATTGATATCCGTCTGACAAGTTTTCCCCTTATCATTTTTTAAATGAATGTCCATTCTAAAATCATTTACACCATTATTTTGAAGGACATGATATATTTTGTCCAGACCTAGCCAAAAACAGGTGTGCATACTACCAAATCCATTACGATAATCTTTCCAGTTTCTGTTAAAATCTGTACAGCCAGGGAGAAATTCACGTTTATGAATTGTAGTATAACCTCCGTAATCAAAAATACATAGTACTTCAAACGGTTTTCCAGGATACGACAATGGTTTAATAAATGAAATCATTTTTTTTCGACCTGACAACTCAGGCATTGTGTTACCATCAGTGCAATCTGTAAAAAACAAAAACTATAGCATCTTCACAATGTCAAGATATAACCAAGTTCGTCTTAAACCTTGACTGCAAAAGTTACCTTTCTTGTAACACGGAATGCAGCGATTTGATTGTATACCAGCGAAAACAGCCAATCAGGGCCCTCGACGTTATACATTATGACTGAAGCCAAATATTCCAAGAAGGATAACAATCTAAGAATAAACTATAAAATTATGTATGACAATAACAAAATATTTTCACGGTTTAAATAATGCTCAATATATCAATTGTAGAGCGATATAAAAAACTGGAGATATGGAGTAAAATTTTTCAGGTTATGTGTTAATGTTTCTTAATTATAATTAGAAAGGGGACAACTTCTTCAGAAACTGAACGATCAAGTTTGTCAACAAAGAATTACCGGTTCGAATTTTCGTTTACAGAAAATGGTTTACCTTGTATGACATTTTGACAGCACTGAGCATCATCACCGTAATATCCAACAGAACATCGACAGGTTTGGTCCTCATATCTCATGTAACTCTGAAAATATGCAAAAATGTACTTGGAGATAGCCACGAAAGGCGTAACTCATTCAGCACTTTAATGAAGTAACCATGCATGACACCTAAAGGGAGTAACCATGTATATAATACCTCAATGCAATAAGCATCCAAAGCACCTAAAATGGTGCAACCTTCTAACCATACAAGAACCTATATAATAGTTTTCGGGAAATGGGCGAGAAGTATAGTATCTATTATGTACTGATTGTTTTTAGTTTACTATGAACAATATTATCATTTAAGTTCTTATTTTTTGAATATGCAACTATCATTTTCTGTTTATAGACATGGGGGAATTTCTCTTGAAGGCTCTTATAGTGGGCATGAACTATCTTGCTTGTTCGATTTCTGGTTGTATTAAACGGGACAACAAAGGGTGCTATACCTACATTATGGTGAATATTTAGTCCTATAGGTCTTGCTGTATCCAATGTCTCAATCCAATGGGCTTCCCTAGATTGACGGAATTTGGTAGTTTCATCTTCGGGCAAGTCAATTTCTGTGCGCTCAATTGGGATTAGGGTGAGATCGTCTATTGAATGGTCGTCGAGGTTGAAATGATTACAAACAGGCTTGTCTTTCTTTAGTTTGATATCCGACATATGAGCATTAAAACGAGATCGTAAATTATTCTTAGTTTCTCCTACATATTGTTTGGGGCATTTCTTGCATGAAATTAAATATATTACATTCGAATGTTCACAAGTTAGATGTTACTGGATCGGGTAACTTTTATTCGTAGAGTTGCTTACAAAATAATGAGTTTCTGATATACAGGGACAAGATTTGCATCTACTGGACAAACATGGAGGATACTTCGGCATAAAGCCTGTTTTTAGCTGCTATCTGTTGCTAAGGTGGAATGTTTTATGTTTCGTAAAAATCGTTTAGAGTACCCACGCTCTTTCAGTTTTGAGAAAACAATCGTACAGGCTTGGTTGAAATTGGAAGATCTTGTGCAAATTCGATGAAATCGTACAACTTGTGACTTAATTATACCAGAAAAGGTATGTTTTGGGTGAAAGGAGCTCTTGTGCAAGAGTTGATGAGTATCAGTTTCTTTGAAATACACTTTAATATCCAGTTTATTTGTTTCAGCTATGGAATCTCCCTTAAAGACAGTGGTATCGAGAAAGTCTATGCTTTTGTCACTCACGTTTGCGGTTAGTTTGATGGAAGGATGGTGGTTGTTGAGAATTTCAAAGAATTCCCAAAACTGTTCGATAAAATAAGTCCAAACCATTAAAATGTCATCCACTCTGCCATGAAAAGGTTTGCCCGTAGCTGTCCCTGAAGTTTGTAACTATGTTTTACCATTAAATGTGAAATCGTTTCGACTAAGAGCTGTAGAATTGCATCATCGAGTCTGTTTGGATCTGGGTTTCTATTAAAAGCTTTACGAACTGCCGTTAAACCAGTAGCGTTATCGATATTGGTATACATAGAAGAAACGTCGATAGAAATTAAAATAGCATTAGAGAGAACTCGATGATTTTTTAATTTATTGACAAAATTGGTTGTGTCTTTAAAGTAGGCGCGATGTTGACATGCTAGGTGTAGTAAGAAATGATCAATGTATTCTGACACTGCATACGACTCACTACCACAGTCAGATATAATCGGGCGGCCTTTAGGGATTTTATTCGAGATAAACCACTCCTTTGTTGGATTCCTATGGATTTTAGGCAAAGTGTACAAATGTCTCTCACGACAATCAGGTTTGGCAGACAGATAGTCATATTGTTTCTGTTTGAGATAACTAGTTTTGACTAAATCGGCAAGAATATTGTTAATCATATTAGCAGTTTCTTTGAAAATTGGTTTCGGTAAAATGGCATAATGTTTAGGATTATTCAGTTGATTCTCTGCTTCTGAAACGTACTCCTCCCTATTGAGGACTTAACATGCACCTTTGTCACTCTTTTTAAATACAATGATATCGTCTTTCTTAAGTAAGTTTAACGCTTCTCATTCCATTCGTGTGAGATTAGGCTTTTCGTGTGTTATGGAAAGGTTCGCTGTCTCGCTATTCATACTCGCAAATATTTCAGGATGGACGGCGACCTGAGGGGGTGTCCATGTGGTTTTAGGAATAAACATTGTTCTAGCACCACGTCGTGGTTTCGAAAAAAATAAGTGCAGGAAAGATTTCGTTGAAATCGTTCAATGGTTGTCGGAGATAATTTAAGTTGGCTATCTTTGGTGTGGGAATAACCTTAAGAGTAGGAGTAAACATACATAACATCCATACGAAGTTAGCAAACATATATACTGATAACCCAAATTCTATCGACCTCCAAACAAGTAAAAAGTGAAATATTTGAACACAGATAGTAGCCTGTTGAGTGAAAGCGTCGATCTTTCCAAAGAGCGAAAGTTCTTGCAACAAAGTACGTCCAGCCATATAAAAGGGAAATAAGACAAGTTCAGGGTCTACACAACTACCAAAACCAACAACGACCACAAGATTGAATTAGTATCGCACGTCTCTATTCCTGGCAATGATCAAGCAGACCGTTGTGCCAAGGAAAGTCTGGGTCTGGAGGATATCGAGCCTGTAGAATACTCCTATTCAGAGTTCTGCAGTATCGTATCTTCTAGGATCTACCAGAAATGGGCCCACATGTTACGAAACCTCGACACCGCAAGATACCAGATTGATCCGAAGATACCAAACCAAACCAAACAGTCCATCTGCAGCCATCTGCAAAGTGTCAACCAGACTCCGGACCAACAACGTACTACGAGACCATCATTTCAACGCCATTAAATGTCGCTTCAGCCACGTTGCCACAAGATCGCGTGTCCTCATTCAATGCACTGAACTGAAACCCGCTCGTAAGCCACTGACAGAGTACCTGGAAACCAACGGCATACCACTCACCATACAGAACGTTTTGGCTCCACCCACGGACCACTGGTATACTATAATGGAACTCCATTTTATAACCAAATCTGTCTTGAACAGATAGGCTAAGTTTTTATACTCAAAGTTTCTTAACACTTTTTAATTATATCCAATCAATTTAACAAGTTTCATTGCAGAAACATCAGAGAACATCTTCCCCCATTTTGTTGAAAGCTTCATCCCCCCCCCACCCCCTCTCTATTCTCACTTCCTTTTTTCAGGTCTTCTAGTTTTCCAACAGATAACAGATAATCTAACCAAACCAAACCAACGACTGCCATTCGACTACCAATCAACAAGAAATACCATGATCAGAACGAGTTTGGTAGAACTTGTCATCTACCATCACCACTATCAGTTCAGGGTCTTGCAGTTGCTTGATAGATTGAAGGCTCTGTCATGAGTTGATACCAGATAATATAAATTCTTGTATGAGTCATTACATTGTGATAAAAATGGAAGGAACAGACTCCCTATTTCCTTGCGCTTGCGTCAAAAGTCATTACATCATATATAAAAGAAAAAAATAAAACATTACCAGAGAGAAACATCTACATTTCGCTACATCAAGATCATTCTCCAAATCCCCAGAACAGGTACTTCCACTCTCAAAAAGTGTACATGGCTCGGACTTTCCAAAGCAATATTCAAATCTCGTACACAGAGTATCCAAAACACAAGAGCTGGCACATTGAAACACTGAATTGGTCAATTCTGGCGGAGTTCTCGCTGTTTTTGTGGTCACAGACTTCAACGCCTGTTCATGATAGCTCACGTCAAATTTTACTTCTCTAGCCAACGCATGTGCTTTCGGCAATATTAACAGAATGCCGACAGCCACTATCGCGCACGTCTTTGTCACTAAAAACATTTTTGGAAATAACAACAAAGATTTTTTTTAAACATTTTCCTGTTAAACAGATACAATAATCAAACACGACTTCTTCAATAATCAATTAAGACTCACCGTAATTGTCCGCTGTTCAGACAATGAAGGAGGTCCCATGATGTAGGTTATAGTATAGATTTCTGGAAGGCTCATGATTAAATACTTTCTGAACACAGACAATGTCTGATTTAAGAGGAGCTAAGTTGATAAACCAACAAACCTTGTCCGATGGACCAAAGGCAAAGATTTAATATCCGGTATCAGTCTGGTCTGCTTCAGACGCATCTGGTAATGTCCAAAATCTCATTCACCGCGCTAAATCCACATTCTACTAGAAATGATGAAGGGCAATAATAGTTTTTGAGCACAGGTATCGGGTATTTCTCAACTTATTTTGGATGAATTTGTTGACGACTCATATGAATTCACCCCTTTCCTGAATAATCACCCCGGTGTATTTTATTCACCCCTCAGACTTTTTCACTTCCACCAAGGTCTCATTCACTCCCGGTTGAGAAGCTCTGGTTTAGTGTTTAGGACGAAGTTCGCAGTGTCTTGACATTTTGAATATTGCATTTTGATAGAAATTTTATTTGTTAATATTCATAACAAATTATCTGGGTTAATATTCTCGAAAACCTAAGTAATATGAAATCTAGATTTTAAGAAATACAGTAATCTGATTGGTTAATAAAAATTAAATTAAAATCAGTTTCAGTGGTTGAGCAATTAGATAACTAGAGCACTAAAGTTTTCGAGGTTTCAGTATGTTCATTTTTTCATATATCTCAATATCTTTCATGAGCTTAGGATTTAGACATAAGAATTGTGGTTAGAATTTGTATATGTTGTTTCTTTCTTCATTGAAAGCTAATGAATTGCAACAAAATGATATATTGATCAGCAACAACAAGCAAAACAATGAGTTCTTCAGCATTCTATTCATTAAGGAGCTCTACAAGCAATACAACAACTTACCTTCGTACAAAACTAAGCTGATTAAAATAAATATAAGGATGTATTAACAAATTTTGAAACAGGTTAACAGATTTTCTAATCGACAAATCTGATCCTACCCGTTCTTCGAATGTAATATACGGATCAGATATCGACCCGTTTAGGGCCAGACATAAAGTTTCATTTTTTTTTTTTATAGAAGTTGGTCTGAACATCTTTTGGCTGCTATTCTTTCAGTACTTTCACCATGATTAAAACCTAATTAATTATGGTATCAATATAAAGCTCAACCATTAATGGGTCCATCAAGATATTACCAGATAGTCTTCCACGCCCTATACCACAAAATACAACCGAGGGTAGGATTTCGCCTTCTTGGCAAATTTCGTAAGTTAAACCTAACAAGGTAGATCTGAAGGACTTAAAAACGATTTATGAAAAGAGCTTTGAATTCTACCTGAAATTTGGCCAATAACCCAAGGAGAACCGTCTGAGATTTTCTGTCAATTCAAATATAAAAACAATGATCAAATTCATAATTCAATATCATAACAAAAAATAATCAATTGATTATAGATGCCCGAGGAGAATTAATTAAAATGAAATGAAAGGATTTTTACAAAAATCGGATACTTATCAAACTTTATTGTTGATTTTAGTTTATCATTTCCTTGCTTTTTCTATTCGCAATTTCCATAATCATTTCAAAATGTGAAGAATGAAGTCAACAGAGGGAAATTGAATTCAAAATCAATAAAGTTTCAGTCGTGAAATTACTTGGTCAATAATCCTGAGAGTCGTTTAAAAACACACGAGTTATCTTCAAGGTACAGGCACACGAGCGGTTTTGGTCGGAGATTTTTGTCGCCGACTCGAATCTTTAATAAAATCTCGCGTGTGCCCGTGCATCCAAGACAGGACTATCGTTTGATATTTGTCTCTGATAGTTTTATCGTCTGAAAGACAGAACCTCATCATCCAATCTGATTTATTTTCTTTTAATTGCATGCTCCGCACGTGTCTCCTCGTGTACCTTTGCCAGTCGATGAAACTCTTGACAAAACTAGTCGCCGAAAAAAATCTATGACCAATACCGTTCGTGCGCCCTCACTTTTAGTCAAGGAGTACAAAGGACATGTAGAACTCTGCCACTTTAGCATTGACTAAATTTTGTATATCTTCTGAAAATTAATGGTGAAGGTCAAAATCACATGGCAGCTCATAATTTGGCAGTCCTTCAGTTTTCGTAAAGCTGAATCATGCTCTGTAATGACTAGTAGATTTCGTTGTGTCTTCTTGGCCGAGACTTGAACATCTATTTGAACTACCAGAGTCAGGTGACAAAGGAACACTGACAGTTCAAATCTAAAAAATGAAAATGCAAAAATATTCTTGATGTTAAGGATTTTGTACTGGTCTTTTATGATTCCTTTTTTTATTTCACAAAATTTCATTTCATAAAAGTTCATTTATAGAGACTTTCATTTGACAAACATATATGCGTTTTGTGCGTCAACCATCTCCGTCATTTCATACAAATAGCTTCATCTGAGACCGTACATATTGACCATTTACAAAATGGCAATAGCAACAACTGATTGGGCTTATGACAGCTCGTCATCTAACGAAAACTTTTAATATTGAGCTCTATCCAAAAGAAAGAACATAATATATTACATTCCTGTCCTGAATTGTTCACTAAATGAATACTTGAGAATTGATAAGCAGAGAACTTCAGTCAAATATCAAAAAATGAATAAAAGTATCTTTTGATAGTGTACACTTGCAATCTGATAAGTATTCGGATACGCTTCTAATATGGCTTTATTCGCAGACCCACGAAATTTTGTGGAGCACTACCCCGAGACGTCGGCCATAGCATAGCGACTTTAGAACCCATGAAGTAACTTTCACTACATCCTGTTTCATCGGCATACCACCAACCACCTTGACGATTATTAGCACAGTTGAAGGAGGTTTGATCGGAACCAGGAGCTGAGAAGGGAGATCCTTCAATATCCACGGCTCCTCTTAACGAGTCGCCACATCGGTGAAAAGCCCCTGTGTCATAATCTCCAAGAGTAATTGTATACCTTTCTGCAATCGTGCCAATAGAAAAATTACTATAGACATTTTCGCAGTAGTTTGTTCCAAAAAAGACAACCGATAGTCTGTTTTTTGGATGGTTATTTAAAATTTTCTTCATTCTGGTAAGTCCTAACCAATGATCACCATCGGCGTCTCCAAAACCATAAACATATTCTGCCATATTCCTGTTAAAGGATAAATCTTGACAGGCTTTATCCCGCGACATTATTAAGGTATAACCACCATGTAGAAATTCGCATGTTACTTCAAATGCCCCTGACATTCCCAATGGTTTGATATACGAGCGAACCCATTTATCAAAAACAGCCCAACCTCTACTATGGCCTTCACTGCAATCTGTATAATAAAAAAAAACGTAGCATTGTACTATCAGTATTTCGATACGAAGCGTAAAAACATCTTGAAATACATCTTAAGCTTTCTAAATGGAGACAATTGTTTTTCAAACATTACTGTCCCTCTGAAACTGAGGTAATTAAGGTCTTTCTCTGAAGATTCTATGAGAATTGTAGATTGAATCTCACCTTTTATGATATTTTCACAGTTGTTACCATATAACCCAATAGGACAAATCGCTCCGTTGTTTACCTTGCTAAATGTCTACAATAAAATACAATACAATGTTTAATTTATCCGATTAGTCTACAATCGAAACCTTAAAGTTTTATAATGATGGATAAATATGGACTTAAATATTGCAAATTGCAAGTCCGAATTGTTGGGCAAGGAGCACATCTTTCATCTATCTCCGGTCATCATGTGTGATTTTCCACCCCGTAGAACCAAGGTTCAAGTCCTTTCGTTCTCCTCGTACCCAAGCCTTCTGGGACCTCTCGTTCATTAAGAACCAAAAGACTCATATGAAAGCTTTACAATGATCAGGTTACCGTTTTTTTAACATTGCACATTGCACGGTTATTATAATGACTCGCTGGTGCTTCAGACACATTTTTCAACATTCTCGAAGATTTTCGGAGTAGTACTTGAAATAGTAAAAACAACTACAAAGAGCCCAAACGTTTGATCTGAACAATCTCTAGTAAAAGTCGACTAATTGTGTGCATGATTTTAATCGCCCGTATATTTACCCAAATATCTTTCTGCTCGACTATAAATGTTTGATTGTGATTATGTTTCAGAAAAACGAAACGGTTTCAACCAGCACATTCATAAACTAAAGCTAGCCGTTTCAAGTATGGAAAATTAAAATTTTACCTTCATAAAGCAGGAACATCCAACAGTTTGTATAGTTGCACAATTTTCTCCTTCATAGTAAAAAGAACATTCAACTCCATTTGGTTGTTTACGTATCATAAATCTTCTACAGTTTACATTTTTAAAACATTTCAAAGCGCAAAATATTGCATTCTTTGAATCGAACACAGAAAAGGCAGTTGTACGAGAGCAACTATCCATAAGTACTCTAGTACTTTTGAAGTAAGAATAATCTATCGAACAGCTTACGAATACAATAAACTGGAGAATAATGGACACCAAAAGCCCGAAGAACATTTTCACCTTTCTTGATAAATCTTGACTAAGTCAATGCAGGATTGTCAGTATTTGGTATGTTTTTTAGATTCGATTTAAAGATATATCTATACCTGGTCCAGCCTGATAAAACAATATTGACCCAACTAAATCGATAAAAGTTGTTTTCGCGATTACGATCTACATTTGAGTTCGACATGGTTTCCATATTTTAATGGAAGGGATGTGAGCTATTTTCACAACAATAATTATTATTGAATATTCTTTGGTACACAGATTTGTCAATTTCTGTTCATATTGTCAAATCACTCTTTTTTTGCATGGCCAATCGTAAATATATTTATATTGTATATATATAAATATATTATATATATACATATATATATAGATGCACGAAAAATAGATTAGCACGGAATTAGGTTTCTTGGCTGTATATATATATATATATAATTTCGTGCTAACCTATTTTTCGTGCATTTCTGGAAAGGATTAATAATGTATATGTGCGACCTCTTATTTGCTTGTTTTGGTAAACATGGGTTATTTGTACAATGTCAGCTAGTAAAATGAATCCAGTAGTTTGAAGCAAGGTAAATTGTATTAATGTGTACTTTGACAAATACAAAATGGCGGATGTCAGTTATTACGAAACGTCACAATTTTTTATCGGTCGAATTTCGATATAATCCCTAGCGGTAATCGGAATATCAAGTGTCGGCTGCTAGAATGTAGTTCAACGAAAGAAGTCACATTATCAACTCACAATGTGGGCCGTATTCATATGTTGTTTCAATGACTTTTAGCAATAAATCACGCTACGTATCTAATTTTTTTTAAAATCGTGGTTCTTTGAAGGAATTGTCACTAGTTATAATGAATTGATGTTAAAGATAAATACTAAGAGAAGTTAATTATACCACTGGGTATCCATACAACGTGTTTTTTATACACGAAAAAAGGTGACGCATTTTGCCGCCGTTATCGAATTGGTTACTCATGAAATATTGGTCAAAGTGAGGGATTCATAAAGAAAATCGAAACAAACCAATTTTAATCATTTTGTAGAATATCTGAGGAAACATCTACGACATAAAAAAAATTTCCGTTTTTTAAACTTTGACGAAATTCGGTGTTGAATCTTTATATGCACGAAAATAGGTTACGCCACTGTATATAACTCTTCACCCTTCTATTAGAGGGGCAGTATGTAAATTTTTTGTTAATCAAAAATGTAAATTATGCCTGAAAGTATTTCTATTTACATCAATGTATATACTTGATCAAACAGAATTTTTTTAAAAAGGGTGAATTAAAAAAGATGAGAACTTATTGTTGCAGTTTGACTTAGTTTTGGTCTTACAACCGCTCGATATTATTATTAAAAGCATAAACTTTTTAAATAGTTTTTGCGTTTAAAAATTAGCGGCTGGATTTTTTTTAGTTATAACTTTCAGATTCTCTAGATTTTCAGCAAAAAATATTTTCAACTTAAAAAAAAAATCGGAATGCCCCTTTAATGTCAAGTTATCTTTTTTTCTCTATCTTTCTTTACACTTTGAGAATTCGAGGAGACAATTCTAGAGTGTAATTATCTACTTGATTTATTTATTACCAGGTACTAGAGTTTTAATTTCTTGTTCACTAATGGTAGACTTAAAAGCACTAGGGTTGAAAGCTAAAAGGCTTTAAGTTCTAAAAGGTCCAAAAGACATGGGATAAGATCTCGTCCACACTCGGAGCTGTTCACAGTTTTTTTCTTTACATGAATGACAATTGAGGGAGTAGATATTGTTTTATGAACTTCATTTGCTAGACGCAAATAATAAAACCTATATAGGTAATGTTCATTTTTAACTCTGCTTTTAGACTTTTAAATAAATATTTATTTAAAGCGTCGCATACTTCCACTTTAAACGATTGATAATAGTATTATAGGACCCATTACCAATAAATTTAACATAATAAAAACAATGAATCTGACCAATATTTTTCCAGTGTTATTGAATATCAATAATTATTGATGACTTGATTGATTGTGGTGGTCGCGGGTGAGGTAGCTTGCCAAACTAGGAAGTCCAATCGATACCACATAGTTACGCAGTTCCTGTATTTATAGATGAGCATTCCATTTCGTTTATGATATATAGCACCAAGGACTATTTGATTGATTTTTAGACCCTTTTAGTCGTTTAACGTCTGCTTTCTCCCTTCACTTAAAGCTTAATGTTGAAATGGTGAAATGGTTTTGCTAAATATAGCTTATTAAATGCACAGCATAAATCTAACAGGGAAAATACCACCTTACCCAATCCCACTACCAGTGGTGTATGGCGAGGATTTCATTAGGGGAGGAGGGGGGGGGGGGGGGGTCCGAGTGCCCCGGTGGCCCTTTGCAGACTTGTTATGGTTGGAGATTAGTATAGTAGAATAGAATATAGTAGGCATGGCCCGAAAATTACCACCTAAATACGGTATTGCCCACTACCAACTACTAGTGAAAAGTAACATTAAGTAAAATTTATTGTGTAGCCAAATGGATATTTGTTCTTGATGGTCATGAAATTTATTTTTCTACATCACAAATCGCCACACCGCAATCAAATGTCTTGATTGAACTTCCACTCGCCTTTTGAAACCCAGCTACGTGTCAACACAGTATTTGATGACTTGGCAGGATACAGTGAATCTTATAAAGTGGGAACAGAGTATGATAGATAATAAAAATAACATTAATAGTATTATATTTTAATTTTTCAGGAAGTAAGGTGTTGTTTAAAGTTGCAGTATCCAAAATTTGCATTATCAAAAACTTCGTAAATTATACCTGAGAATATTTCTAACAAAGTATGGTATTTATATCTATGTGTTTACTTGATCAAACTGAATTTGTTTAAAAAAAACTGAGAGTACTAATTGTTAATTAAGCATTGTTGGAGCTTGGCTTTATAATGGCTCGATATTATTATTAACCGCCATTAGAAGACGTAGGAGACATATTTCTCTACTAACGAACAAACGTAACGAACTTAAAAAGCTTCTCTAAACATACGTTAACTTTTCAAGTAGTTTTGGCGCTAAAAAAAATTAGCTGGAATTTTTTAGTAAAAACGGAATGTCCCTTTAAAGGGGCCATTTCTTTTGACCAATCATACTTGTTGATGACAATCGATGAAGATGGTTTTCAGATTTTGTTTGTTTATTTTTATCCGTGACAAACAACACAAATGTTAAAGGGACAGATGCACCTTTTTTTTAATTTTTGACCAATGGTACCTTAGTCTCAGACACTGGATTTTATTTTAGCTGAGCTACTCAGTAATATTGTTCACAGCTCACCGTCGAAATTTTAGCCTTCAAATCCATGTATGTTCAAAATTATCTGCATTTGTATGTTAACATGACGACTCGTTAATTTAAGATACTCTGTGATATATAGAAAAGACATAAATAGAAATAGTCAGTAAAATTCTTAGTTTGAAGTATTTTTAAAGGAATTATCGGATTTTAGTACATTTCTAGTACTTCTGAAGACTATTTACATATATTCAAGACTAAAATCAACCCCCAAAAATTGCACACATGTCCCTTTAACGCATTGCACTATTTGACAAGAGTTTTTTGACAACACTTTTTTGCGAATACATGTACATGCTTTGTGAAACATTAAACATATACCAGAATGGTAATCTTTGCACAGTTTTGTTTATGTTATAAACCTCCATGAAGATAGTTTGCCAAACAAGTTAATATACGCCCATTGAC